ACTTTCAATAGCTTCAAGTCTAGGTTATATAAATATATTCTTTGTAACTAATGTCCCTAGTTCTACTGATCAACTGTCATAATTTCTTATATCTTTATATATGTTTCTCATGTAAAAGACTTGTTCGTAATGAGAAATAAAAGTTCTTTAAACCGAAACTAGCCTCTAAATTAAATTTTGTTTTACGATCGTCTTTAAGCCCATATTTCGAGCACCTAAATTTAGGGGACCTTTTAATATTTAGGTGACCCCTAACTGTCGGTGAAACAGAAAGTGTCCCCTAACAGCCCCCTAACCATGCTTAGGGGATCCCTTAAACTTAGGTGACGTTGGTGAAATCGGGCATAAATGTCACTATCCTTACATTCGCTCGACAATAATTGGGTTATTTTATTATTTGCTATTTCTTTCTGGCATTGTATTGAAAAAGGTTTGTTTTATAAATCCCCTGCTTCCCAACCCCAATATAAAGCATCGAAATATTCAGTAATGACATTTTTTATCATGTGTTTCCGGGAACGTCAAAACCCCTCACTAATGAAAATAATAAACAATGCCAACTTCCGCCGGCAGAATATATAATAATAGCAGAAACTTATGAAATCACCCATAGCAGAAGTTTTTTTTGGCTGACTTAAGTCATAATTGCATAATAGCTTAAAATCTACTACTACTTTAGAACAGAATAAATTTATTCACAACCTTAAAAAAGACTTCTTCTATATACATGTATGTATATCTATAAACATTTGTTAAATATACAGACATATTTGATACTCTATATACATAAAATAACTATAAATAAAATTTAATTCCTATACTATATATTTGTAATTCAATGTTATAAGTTATTTACTGCTAGTATTTTTTAATTTAATTTTATTTAGTTATAGTCAGAAAAAGATAGAATTGTGAGAATAAATAAACAGCAAATGTACTATCACAAAGAGGTTACTTTGAAGTGAAGTAATCGATCAATTAGCATGTTACGAATCTCAATAGGCAACTAATTGAACAGTTTCGAACAATTTAATTTGATGAATGCAAAAACAATATCGAATACTGATGTTTCGGATTCGTTGGGATTTTTTCAAATCTGTATCCGAATGAAATACTGATTAAAAAAAAAAAGAAAAAAGGTCATATTAAGGTGGTCTTTAAACAACATAATAAGTTGATTGAGTTACGTAGGTGCCTCAAATTAAGTTATGTGTACATTAATGACAGATAAAAGGGTTTTATAGGTAGGCAAAGCATATTCATACGAGTATTATAAAATTCTTGTATCTCCTTTTATATTACATTACTCCAGATATTTTGCATACAGGGAAATAAAGAGTGAAAACCAAATTAATGTCGAGTTATTTGTCAAGGGTTGTAGGACCAAAGAATTTTGATAGAAAACCGTAACAGAATAACAATGCGGACTCGAAGGTTTTATATATTTAAGACGCAGAAACAGTCATTCAATTTTAAATTATCAACAAATTAAATGTGCTTGTATTTACATATAAAACAAAAATTAGCAAGTATAGATGACATAAGTATAGTTTAAAGACTATTGCTACAAATCGTAAAACGAATAGTAAAATTAATTAAGATTACATTGTAATGGGGAAGATTTCTTGAAAAGAGGGCGCTACACGTATGATCTATTTACATTCAGTCTGAGGTTACGTAATTTATTATGATATCTCTTTTGTACCTGATTTTTGCTTCTATTGTATTTGCATCCTACCTGTGCAATGTATTGTACCTGGAAGTTAGACCAGGTAAAGGAAGAATTGAGAAGAAGAGGTGCATTTTGGGCTTATTTGGTTCGATAATTTATACTTGGGTTTTAGAGTCTAAATTTTAGTGTTGTTAATAAAAGCGGTTTTTTTTAGTTTGTTGATTTTGATAATAAATGACTTATGACTTAAATGAAAAAAAAAACTAATTTCTTTACTCTATATTTTTACGTTTACTCTATAAATCTAAAAATAAAAACTTTTTTATAATAACTACTTCCAGGCACTAAAAAATTAAATCATAACTGAACGGGGGTTTCAATTTACTATAGATAAGTATCTAGATCTGATTAAGTAATCGGATATTTTCAATGTATCATATTTTATGTATAATTAAAGTTCATATCTTGTCATATTTTTCTATTAGATATTCATGTCTTAACTCAAAAATATTATGAAAACATTTAAATGTAGCTACATATATATAGACTTTAAAAAAGCATTCCATACTCTCTATCTGGCAATGGCTGCATGAGATTGGTAGCCCGAGAATATTACAAGCGTCATTAGAGCAACCACCAGTATATATTCTTGTAGATTGACTCATAATAGGATCCTCTTGAAAGATATACCAGTAAACATAGATGTACGGCAGCAACTGGGATTTATTTTCTAACCTGTCCTATTTCTTTGTCCTCAATGCAGATTTACATCACAAGTGCCATGATATAGTATGGAGACTATTCAAGATTAGATAAGGGAATTTGGATTATGATATTGGTCTATGCTTATTGAAATATATGAGCTAATCAACTTTCGACGAGAGAAATCGAAGACAGGACGTAAAATAAACGTATGAAAGATGGGTATTTTAGCGTATGCATGCGGAGATGAGAAGTAGAGCAACATGTTATTTAGCATTTTTCATAAGCAAAAAGGCTGTAGAGCGAGTCAAGAAATTCACTTATCACGAAATTTGAGTCTGGAACTGAAGGGACCGAGGAGAACACGTCTGGTGTCGTCTCAACAATTACCAAAGTAACAGCATAATAATTTCTTAGACTGACCTGAACATTTTAAATAAAACTATCTTTTGAGATTTTTTCGGGGATTTATTTTCATATTTCAAAAGAATAATTTGTATTTCGGAAACCTAAATAATTAGTAAAGTACCTTTGTATATTTTATTCTACAAATATATAGAAATTAAGTTTTTTTTATTTTTGACTGAAGATCATAGCCTATCTGGGTACAATCTTCATTTAAATAAGGTCAGCCGTTTAATTGTGAAGGTGTACAAAATATATATACACACACACAAGCACGCACGCAAAAACGCACGCACGCCGTGTGCGTGTTTAAGTTTAAGTAAGATAAGTTTATAAATGTTAGTACACAATATTAGTAATAAGATATCACTATAATATTATAAAAAGTTACGGAGATTGGTGAATTGTGTAGTTTATACCTAAACGACGAGCAGGGCTCGCTAGTTCTCATACACTTTAGTAGCGATGACATCTAAGTTATTGTAATAGAAATATAGCAGACTATATTGCTACGGCGTAGCATGTAACTCTACATGAATGCTGCTTGACAAAATAATTTTGCATAATATATATGTAGAATTTGCGAGATGAGTATGCGTAGCATGTAACTCTACATGCATGCTGCTTGACAAAATAATTTTGCATAACATATATATATGTATGTAGGATTTGCGAGATAAGTATGCGTGAATGATATTTTAAGAACAAAAGAAGAGGTATGATATAATTTTAAGAATGGAATGGAATGAAAGATGAATAAAAAAAAGAAGGATGTTGTGTCATAATGGCGACACGACGATTCGCGTGAACATTGTTAGTTATAATTTTTTGTATAATAAATAGTTAATAGTGATATTAACGCTTTCATTAGTATCCCCGGATCCTACATATATATTGTAATGTTTCTTTTTTAAAACTAAAATCCATACTAATATGAAATGTGAAAGTTATCTGTTTTCTTTTGTCTGTTACATATTAACGTATAAACGTTGAAGAGATTTCAATGAAACTTGGGCAAGGACATATTATGTATATAGCATCATGGGAATGGACACAGGCAACCTTTCCTCTCGTCCCGCTTATCGTGCTAGCGAGAAAGTATCAAATATATATGCATCACAAATATTAAATATCTTAAATGTACATTAAAAGGTTTTATTTTTATTATACTTAACATAATTTATTTAATAATAATTTGAAATATTAAATCTCTTTTAATTTAATAATAAAAAAATCCTAAATATTAAAGGGTTTATTAAGCTAACTTAGAACTTATATTAATTACATAAATAGCATTCAAAATATACTTTGATGATATTTTTATATCAAAACAAAAAATAAATAAGTTTATTTGCCTTCCCTATATTTAAAATCACGAATATGAATGAATGGTGAATTGAATGTATGAATGTTTCAGTTTATGACACTGAATATAATAAAAATAAGAAATACTTGCTATAAGAAAATGAAATGGCTAAAATATTGCTTAAAATACGGGAAAAGATATTATATGTATCAATTTTCAGAATAGATTTTTCTTAATGTCCTTACTTCCTTTTCTTCAGTTCAGACTATTTAGACCATCCATTACTCTCCAGTTTTAACTCTAGAGAGGTAAACTGATTCACCGAGTATCATTTACTTGTATTGCAGCACCGTAAAACTTTGTTGAAGTTTTGTTGTAGTAAAATATTTTTTTAAAGTTAATAAATTAATTATATTTTTTTTCAAATAAAATATTTATTAAGTATATTTTATTTTCAATATTCGTTTAGGGTTTTTTTATTTTTATATGATGGAATATGATATAATTATTTTGTTTTGTGTTTGCTTTTTTTTATTTATATCAAATAATTTAATTTTTTTTTTCACATACGCGACCAGTCGCGGTCCCTAAATAATGTAAGCGGAAATGGTATTTTAACAGCTAATTAAAATACCATTTTAGGCGTCAACCACTATATTCTGCACTATGCTCTATCATGTTGCTCTTATTCTTTTAATCTAATCTTATAATGGTAATATCATATGGTTAAGTAGTTCTATAACTTTATAGGTAAAATTTGATAAAATGAAGAAAATAAAAAGACTTTCCGTATATTTCATAAACACTTTCTCTATCTGAAATAAGAATAAACTTTTTAATTTTGGTTTAATAATATTTTTATGCTTCTGAATAAATTTATTAAGTACGATAAATAAATATTATTATTAAACTTACCTTTACATAATATTGTAAATATCCAGAAAACCGCGGGAATCAAATATTTCATTTTTATCACAAATCACAAGTAATATTTAAATATAGTTAAACAATTGCACTTAAAAAAAGCAAATTTTTTTCAACTTATTCCACTTTTATTAAACTTATATATATTTAAATTACATTATTATGTCATCGAGATATTATTTTTATATTCGTTAAAAAAACTTCTATTTTTATAAAATTATTTTTTGTTAAATTAATATGAGGATAGCATTTTTTTACTATGTGGGAAAATAAGTAAATATAAGCAATAAATAATTTATAGCGGTTGTAAAATGTGGTTGATGGTGCGTGTAGAGTTAGTACTTGCGGGCGAGCCGCGCGGCTGTCAGCGCAGCGGCTCTAGAACTGCTGCACGGTAACACGCCACAACCCTAATGACTGATACAAAAAAAAATATTAAAAATTTTAATCCCATTATTTACGATATTACTTTACGATAATATTATATTAGAAACAATAGATTTATGGATAAAATAATAACACAGTATTTATAAGATAATGTAATAAACAAGGTGTTGAAATAAAATTACACTTTTTGCATATTTTACAAATATTAAAGTAAGAGATTGTATAGGATGATATTTAGTATTTTTTATGTATGTATATAATGGACTTATTATATTTTTTTAAATATAATTAGAAATCGATACAGAGGCCGAATCTATAGTTTTTAGAATTTTTATCTGTCTGTCTGTCTGTTACCGCATCACAGAAAAACCACTGGAGGGATTTTGATGAAATTTGGTATGGTGATAGCTGGTTATTCGGGTCAACATAAAGGATCCTTTCACCGCGGGAAAATATCTCATTTTTGAGAAAAATTACAAAAACTGCATTTTAAGAGTATACTAATATGTAAAACCTAAGATTTTGGTTTTTGGTCATTAGAACGCGGGCGGAGCCGCGGGCAATGCTAGTTAATAAGTAATATTGCAAAACATTGTTGACGATCGCGATGCTTATATAGTGCCTGACCACGGTCCACGCATCATACTCAACGATCTCCATTGCAGTTGCCTATGTTAGGGTTTCCGAAACACATGCGGGACCAATACGTGCGGGGCTCAAACCGCAACAATCTAACTATGCTGTATTAAATAAATTTCTACTTATTATTATTTCTAGATATAATGCACATATTCTAATACGCTAAGTATTGCGGTTTCGATTCCTGCACAGGTGTGCTGTGTGCAAATATATATGTATTGAACATGAAAACGAAACGTCAGGAACTAGATGACAGTCAAGTGGGACACAGAGAGAGAACACACATCGAAATATTTACCCTAGTCCTTTGAGTGAATCGGGATTGATTAATATTTAATTTTTTAAGGTTTTACAGAAACTTTTATATAATATACACTCCGCTCGCATACTTTATTTGTGCATAATTGCCTCGTTCCTAAGAAGCGTAGCATGATGTTAGATAGCCTGTAACATTTCTCAATAAATATGCTAAATATGCAAAAATTTGTTTCTAGTAGTTTCTTACAAGTAGTTCTAGAGATAAAAGAATACAGCAAACAAAGAAACAACTTCTTCTTTTAATATTGGTATAGTCAAATAAATACAATCGTAAATTTAAAACTAAATTGAAAGACTGCAATTGGATAGACGGGGCACTATTGTTATCTAAGTTTTAGATGCTAAGTTATATCTATACATATAGTAAAATTCTAACCAAGTCGAATCTGTACATTAAATATTTTTTGGAAAATCTTATTGAAATACTCATTATTATCGATACAGAGGCCAAATCTATAGTTTTTAGAATTTTCGTCTGTCTGTCTGTTTGTTACCGCATCACAGAAAAACCACCAGTGGGATTTTGATGAAATTTAGTATGGTCATAGCTGGTTATCCGGGTCAACATATAGTCAACATATATACTTTTTACCGCGGGAAAATGTATCATTTCTGAGAAAAAATACAAAAACTGCAATGTAAGAGTATATTAATATGTAAAACCTAAAATTTTTGTTATTGGTCATCTGAACGCGGGCGGAGCCGCGAGCAATGCTAGTAATTATATAAAGCATAAAATATGATTTTAAAATATGTAATCTATAGTAAAAAGTATTAACTCAATAGTATAATATAATTGAAGCTATATATAACATAATTTTAACATAATTATTTATATACCTTTTGCATATGATGTTGAGAAATTAAAGTTCTCTACATTTATTTAATTTTTAGGTACTTTATTTATTACATAGTTATATATAAATATGATATTTATACGTACATATTATGTATATTAGATATTTCATAATGTAAAAGCTTTATTTCATTATGACAAAATCGCACATTCATACACAGTTGACTTTTGGAAAAGCTCTATTAGCGAACGAGAGATAAAATAGAGGAACGTCTTTCTTATTAGAGCAAAGGATAAAAGCCCACTATAATAAATTCTGATAGGGACAACACTTTCTGAAAAGTAGGAGTTTATATGCGTCCTGTGGTCGCTGGTGGTCCCATTGGGAATATTTGCATCCACATCGTTCTTTACTTTGCCAACACAGAGCTACCGAGCCTTCAATCGCCTGAGTAATGTTGACGTGAGATGATGACTATACGGAAATCTGAATAGAACACAAGGTTCAACAGGAATATATATTATGAAATGCATTTAAATTATTTATCTTTTTAACGTCTTCAGATACTTTATAAAACATTTTATAAAATTTATGATATGTCATTGTATATAAAATATTGGAGGGGCCATACAAAAAATAATGTACATATGTATCGCCGTAAAATTGTAAATAAGTACCATGAGATTATTATCTATCTGAAGATATTAAATCTTTTTTTTTATTTTTTTCTATATCTCTATCTATCTATATAGATCCATTAGAGCATAATTACTATAAGACAATTATAGAATGTTAGATACGTGTAGAGAAAATATTGTTTCAATTTTCAACTAAACTTTAAGCTCAAGTCATTAAGATAAGTGGTAGATGCACATTTATTAAACGTAGTATAATAAAAAAATATTTTTATGGCTTAAATATTTTATTCATATGTTGTATGTATTTTAAAATAAAAATTATTTATTTTTATTACAAAGTCCAAAAGAAACGCATTTTTGAAAAAATTAAATGATGAATTTTCTATAGATAGTCAAATTGAAATATCAATTATGGGAATAATGAACCAATGCGGATCAACCTAATGAGTTTCTAACAAGATTTATGAATAATGAGATGGATCCTTATTTTAAAAAATGCTGATGAATTGTTGGTTGTTTTGTACGACCCAAATGAGAAATTATTTTGATTTAATACCTACATAAATTTGTTGATTGATATGTATTCAGCCCTTTTTAACGTCCCACTGCTGGGCACGGGCCTCCCTTCAATACGAGGGGGATAAGGCCATAGTCCACATGATTAAGCAATAAAAATTATTTTTATTTTATTATTTTTATTTTATTTGATTTATAACAAACTTTTGTCTATACATATAATAAAATTATTGTAACTAAGCCGAATCTGTACATTAAATATTTTTTGGAAAATCTTATTGAAATAGATATTATTATCGATACAGAGGCCGAAACTATAGTTTTTAGAATTTTTGTATGTATGTCTGTCTGTCCGTCTGTCTGTCTATCTGTCTGTTACCGCATCACGGAAAAACCACTGGATGGATTTTGGTGAAATTTGGTATGATGATAGCTGGTTATCCGGGTCAACATATAGGATACTTTTTGCTGTGGGAAAATATCTCATCTCTGAGCAATCTATATTAAACATTAAAACGTAAGTAGTAAGAACGGACCCGAGCGGAGCGAGGGTGTGTCGCTAATTTATATATAAATTCAGAAATTCTATAGCGACAAAGTCGTCAGTCCCTTGACCAAGGCTTTCCTCAACTACCTGATTCGGGGTAATTTCTCATGGTTATCTTCGTCGCCGTTCACAAGACCTAGGAGATTTCTCTCATGGTCCACTCTTCTATCAGAACAATGCCAGGAGCAAGCTACACGGTAGCGCCTACCGAAGTAAGCCACCTGCCAAGTGCGTCTTGGCTTATTTAAGTGAAACATATAAAAGTTGGCAATATTTCAACGTTAAATGCTATAACATACGTATGTATGTATTTTTAAAAGATTTGGAGGTGACAACCAAATCTTTTGAAAATATATGAACTATACATTAAAATAATACTGAATTCAGTTAAGTTTAAGCTATTAATATTAATTAAAAAATATAGATTGTGAAACTAATAATTAAGTGAGTTTGGACGATTACTTAGAATTAATATAGAGCCTAGAGTTCCTTAACTGTAATTGGTGTATTAAGTGCGGTCGCAAACAGCAAGCGCACAATGCGGGGTGAGTAGAAGCCAATTAGTGTTGTCGTGCGTTCGACGACGCGAGCAAACAGTCCACTTACCGATTAGCTCTAGATTCACGGTCGGTACATCTAACCGACCGTAATTCGTCGTGATCGTTGGATCATTACTCCTAAACGGCAAGGGACTTAGTTTTTTAAATTTCCTTTAGAGATCCCGAATATATAAGTTAGTAGGTACATATAGAGGTTTTCAAAATAGATAACATATAGATATATGTTTGTAGATATAAATATAAGGCTACGACTGTAGCCGAGTGATACCACTCACTCGCTCGCTTGGAAAACCAAAGTTCAAAGCAGGTTCAAATCTAGCAAGTCTTTAAAAGACAAGTGAAGTCCGCTAACCCGCACTTGGCCAGCGTGGTGAACTATGGCCTAATGGAACATTAAAAAGGGCTGAATACGTTCAGATTCACAAATAAGTATGCACATTTAAAACGCACATATAAACGTATATATACTTATAGCATTTGTAATCTTATTTATCTGTTTTTTTTTAAGAAATCTAAATCATGTTTTAATTTTTATTATTCTTTTTAAACCTTTACAAAATATAGGTCAGACCATTTTGTAGTAAGCTCTAGTCTACTCCAAAGACAAAGCATACAGAAGTTTCTTTGAATCCTGTATTTTATTTACACGTAATTGGATTTTAAAAATATAAGATAAATTAGATTTTAGCGGTAGACGGAATTGTGTGCTTTCTAGTGAAGGAGGCATCCACATGTGAAACCAATCAATTAAGCGTGCTTCGGAACCAATACTCTTTCAGTCGCGCTGCTTTTGTGCCGTTAAAACCTACTAATGAACGATTCTATATATTGTTACGTTTACGTTTTAGATTTTATTTAGATGTATAAAACCTTTATTTTGTGGTATAGATGTAGGTATTGTATGTAATATGTTTGTTAGAAAAATATTCTTCTTTCGAGGTCCTGTCATTCAAAAGCAGTACTTACAAGTTTTCTAAACCATTCTGAATGTAAAGCCAAAAATCGTAATGGAGATGAAAGTTGATAGAAAGAAGATGATAGTTTAGGTAACCTTTAAAAATGCCTTTTGGGACCTTTTAAATAAATTTTCACAATCACTCTCTCACTATACAAAGCACTTTGTATGCTACGCTAGTCCGGAAAGATCGCTGTGAGCGATGTTCGAAGACTTTATTGACGTGTCGATTTATAAACTCTTTTACAGATACAGATAAATTCTTGGAATATTTTAATTCATAAAATGTATAAATTAAAAACATTTTTTTGAGAAAAGACAATTTGATGAAAAATGTATATAGGTTGCTATCAAAATACAATTCCAAGTTGAAGTTCGAACTCGCTCTTCAATTATTACGGCATTCGCTGGGATATTCATAAGTTGAACCCAATGCATAATACTGCGTCCAGCAGAAACATCACATCAAACTTGAATAGAAAATAGATAAAACCGATCGCTTTGAATATCGTTTTCAGGATAAAGCGTAAAATATATTTTATGATCTGTGTTATAGACCAAAAATAAATCATGTAAAATTTTATAAAGTTTTACTTTAACATTGAGAAATCGAGAATCATAAAACATATACCTGAACATATAAATAAATGACGATATATTTTTATGTGTAGAATTTCTTTAAATTGAACCCAAATTTCGCGCACCGTTTCACTAATTATTTCACATCGCTTACTCTAGACCAGCCATACTCAACCTTTTTTTTATAGGAGCCACAAACACGTTCCAGTCATGGTGTCGAGGGCCGCAAGCAAAAATTACTTAGGTCTTAATGAAAACGTAATTCCAAGTTAACGATGTAGTTACTTTTTTAACAAAGATATGTTATAATATGTTTATAAGAAGTTCACGCTCGAATTAAAGTAAAGATGTGTTAATTAATACGTAATAAAGATACTTATCCATTATTCAATCGTCAATGTATACTTACATCTTTCTTAAATAATGAAAGCTATTTTACCTATAATTTTAGCGCTTCCTTTGCAATAACAATGGTTTCTGATTTCATTAGACATTACAGCTTATTACATTACCTATTTACTCGCTTCACTCGGTTTCCCAAGCGAGCGTGTTACCACTGGGTTACCACAGCCGTGAAATAACTATTATAGTCTTACAGTATTATGGAAGTGTATGTGATAAGTTTACCATATTAATGAAACTATCATTTAAATGTAACGACTAATATCGAAATTAAGTAATAACCAACGCAGAGGTTTAATTAATTCATGTATAGGATAGCGTTGTTTGCATTCGCCGCATTCATGGTACTGAGCATATATGGTTATATTGATTTACGACAGGCCTATGGTATTTTATGGTATAATACATACTTGTATGTCCTATAGTTATTTACTTTAGTGAAAATGTTAAATTAAAGTAGGTACCTAACTTAATGAACTATAAACATTTTTAAATTAACAATTTAATTTAAGAAATTAAATTAATTAAGAAACTTAATTTTACTGAAAAACATTTAATTAACAATAGTTTTGTATATAATACACTCAGCTCTTACTAAGCTTTTGAAACATTTACTTCATCGTACAACAATCTCATCACATCCAAACTTTTATATAAAAGTGTAAGTGGGCTTTTAGTAGTTAACGTAAGTTTGAGATTGTCGTTTTTTATTTAGAGTCCAAGTCCTCCATATTTAAAAAACCATAAAAACTGTTCTATGAAGTTGGAATGAATATGCATTTTAGTTTAAACTCGTACTGGCCGTTTCCTACGTTTGATACCTTCGCTTGACATCGTTTAAAATGTCAAATACCTATAAAATTATCGGGTGAAAAAAAATGAATTTGTAATATATAAAATATACATAACTTTCTCTGATACTTCTATATAGTTAGATTCAATATAAATTAACAGTATGAATGACTTCTCAAGCTTGGAGAAAACTATTGTACGAGAATTGTCGTGTCGCTTGTGTCTGTGCACCGATGTCTCAAAACTTAAACCACTCAGCGCTGAAATAAAGCGGAAAATCAAAAGATTATTTGATATCACAGTTAGTTAAAAAAAGTCATAAGTTCATTATTAATTTTGTATTTTTTTCGTATTATTATGATTTAACCCAAACTATTTGTAGATACGAACAGATGATAACTTGCCAAAAGCAATATGTCACGAATGCCTACAACAAGTGGGAGGTCAGCATCTTTACTCAGTAAAAGTCGAAAAGACCCAAAAGTTCTTAGACTTTCACAGCATGAAAAATAACTTGGAAAGGCAAACTCAAAATCCACATGAGAACAAACTACACCCTATCATCGGTGCTTTATCAGAACATACTGGGAACACGAAACCGCAAGATATTATTAAGCAAACTATAATTAAATTGAACTCGCCACCTTCAGAATTTCAACAAGGAGATACTAAGCTCCCTAAAAATCAACACAAGAAAAAATCACCCTCTGAGATGAAATTTTTGGAAGCAATGCCATTAGAAGAATTTGCAGTTACCGAAAGCTTAGATAAATCTCTTTTAAATAATACCGTGTCTGCTAGCAAACCAGTAAAAGTTTTGACAAAAAATCTTAATCAGTCACCACCAAACAATACTGTAGAGGAAGTATTAGACCCTATTGTACTAATAGACGGTCGACCGGCTAAGCAAGGCGCCGATTTGGAAAAACAAATAACTCTCTTTTACAAAATGGAGTGTTGCATTTGCCACGAGCAAGGATTTAATTTCAAATCTCTTATGAAACATTACAAAGACAGACATGGAGTACCAGGATATGTTACCTGTTGTGACAAAAAATTTCACTTTTTTTATCCAAAAAAGATTATAGAACACATGGCTTATCATCTACAGCCAAATATCTTTATGTAAGACAAATATTATAAATTTTATATTTACCAAATCTATAGATTACTTTTTTATTCTAACGAGTTATTGCAAGTTTATTTTTCTCTTTAACATCCTTACCTTTAAATTATTAAACAAATTTCGTACGACATATTTTTAAAAATACAACGTTGATACTTTTGTTATAAACAATATAAAACCCATGCTATTTTCAAGGTAGGTAAAGTTATGGCTAAAATGGCATTTTTATTACACAATTGAATTAAAAACAGAAATCACAAACAAAACACTATTTAATACTCATATTTTCAGGTGCCCTAGTTGCCACCACAATTTCCACACCTCACAACAGTTGATAGAACATCAAAGTAACGGAGGCAGGTCAGAAGGCAAGATTGCATGTCCGAGATGCTCTGAACGGTATCCCACGTATCAGGAGTTAGGGTGGCATATAATAACGCATCGTTCAGACAAATTTCAATGCGATTATTGTGGAAAATTGTAAGTTATTTTGATATAAATAATTTATATAATTTCCAGGTAATTTATTCGATTTTTTCATACACATTAAAATACTCACACTAAATAAGGGCGCACCGAGGTAGCGAAACGTAATTACGAATTAACTATGTACGTTTGATCCCTTGCTGTATTGCTATTACTAAAATTTTAATTATACAATTAATATGTAGGATATTTAAGGATTTATTATATAAATTGTATACTTTAGAAATACGATTATTTGTAGTTTCCTCGATAAAAAATCCAGAATGATCTCTAAAAAACAAAATAAACCCTTAGTGCGGCGTAATTAATTCAAGGAAGTTCATCAGTTATATTTAGTTATATAACAAAACTATACGTTTTCTATAACGTATACACTTTACGTTTTCAAAATGTGTATTTGTTTTAATAATACGAAGGAAATACCTAAAATTTGACTAAAAATCAATTAGCGCCAAAAGCTCGATGCCCCCGTAACTGTAAGTAGGTAAGGGGGCACCAAGCTTCCTCTCCTGAGGTCCGCAAACAATTCGAAATGTAGGTACTTGATAACTTTTTTGTTACTAATCTAAGTATCATCTAACATAACCCATTATTAAACACAAAAACTTCCTTCCATACAGTCTTTAATTTAAATGAAACATAAAGTTAAAATCCTTACCTACTTCATATTTTCAGATTAAAACATCACCATCGCAAGAAAACCGTTAACCACATGGAAGATATTATACTTTGCTCACAATGTGTACGCATCCTTAAAAATATAGAGAAGCAAGAAAAAGAAATTGTAAGAACTGACAATTAAATTTTGATTTAGTACTGTACATATATATATATATATATATATATATATATATATATATATATATATATATATATATATATTTAATAAAATATTTACGTTATATGTACGTACATATATGTATTAATAAAATATTTGTTGCTGTATATATAAAAATCTATTGTTGTAAGCTTTATAAGGTAGGACAGACACAATTCCCATAGTTTACATCGTCGGCCGCGTAGTTTTTGTGTAGTCAGAATAACCTGGTTTTTTGCTTTACGCAGTAAGTAGATGGTAACTCAGGTGGTTTTAGCACGTAAATATGTACTAGTAAAAACGTAGTAGTAAGTAAAAACCTAACCATCTCATATTTGCTGGGTCTTTAGAGGCTTTACTACCCCTGTTAATAATAAATCCCCTGTTAATAAAAAAAGTCTTTATATATAAACCTTTAGATTTCTTTAATTGGATCATATTTAAAAAAAAAACTATGAACCTATACAGTGTCTTTGTATTACTCAATCTACATATTTAATAAAGCTTGCTAGTTCGTAAATTATTTTATTGCCTGTACAGTAATAAAAAGCATCAAAATCGGTCAAGCCATAACTCAAGAAATTCAGCATTAAACAGGAAGATAAATTTCTTAATGAGTTTATCTGACATTATTCTTCTTCTACAATGGTAGCCCAGTGACACGGTAATGTTATATGTATCATTAGCGTGCCAGTGGTAACGCGCTCGCTTGGAAAACCAAGTAAAGCAGGTTCAAATCCTAGGTCTCAAACCTCAGACATTTTCCTGAGCGAATCATCTCCGACATTTATCAATTACGGTTACCACTTGTCTTACGGTGAAGCAAAACATCGTGAGGAAATCTGCATGTCTGAGAGAACCTAACAAGTTTTCTAAAGAAATGTGGAGCCCGCCAACCTGCTCTTGGTCAGCATGGTGGACTATAGCCCGATCTCCCTCGCATTGAAGAGAGGTCCGTGCCTAGCAGATTGACAATAAAAAAAGGTTGAATACATTCGAATACATATTCTCCTTCTACTCCATCGCACTCAAATTTTACCCAATGACCATTTTAAGACAATATTCTGTTATATCATTTATTAAATTAATTATTGTTATGTAACTAACACACTATTTGTACTCAGAAGGAGAAAGTGAAAGCAAAGAGTAATGACGTATTAACACTGCAGAAGTACCAAAAATTTCGACAAGCTATAGGATTATCGGCCGACGAGGACGCCTCTACAGATTAAATAGCAAATAAATTTGAAAAAAAAAATTTGTAATGTAACAAAAAAAAATTGATATAAAATAAAAACCACCGATATCAAGAATTTCTTTATTTAAAATCACAATCGTTTTACTGTAGGTTTAATGGAAATTTGTCACGCCAAAACAGTCTGTGCAGATTTGTACATATATTCTATTAAAGGTATTATTGTATTTTATTCTACATCGAATACGAATATTTTAGACCACATTTAAAATCAACGTAAATTTAAAAAAAATACCTTCATTTTATACAATTTAATGACGTCATAACATAATGAAAACTTTAGTAAAATCTCTTCAGCTTAAGCTATTTGCAATCAGACTGACAAATCTATAATAATAATGAATTAATCATAATGATTATTCAATTCAATCCAATTCAATTCTCTTGTTAATAGTGATTATTCTCAATTGTGACAAATATAAAAAAAAAATGTTACCATTTTGTCGAAAATAAAAGAACAAAATCCATTACTCTTACAAACACAAAAACTCAAGTTGTAATATGTACATTTTATTCTAGTCTACGTTTCTTAACTAATGACCCCAGTAAGTCAGATATAGCTGGTAGATTGTTTGTTTGGTCGTTGGCTCCTGTGTTTAAGTTTGATAGGGGAATGTTTAACTGGTTTGAGGAAGTCTTTTGTTGTCCCTTCATGTTCCTATGCTGTGGGAAGCTCGGCATTAGCTTTGGGTCACAAGCTGAAAAATAAATATAAATATTTTTACTAATTTATTAATTAATATAATAATGTTATAAAAAATTAAAGAATAAATTTATATTAATATGATGAGGTCCTCCTGACCGATTCCGGCCACGGCGGCCAATCTCATTGAGACGACCCAGCTACGCAGAAGATATTATTGTGCACAAGTGTACGCGCAGACACAACGTGCACTCTCTATTCCTGTCACTCTCATACTCCGGTGGGACGACTGTTCGACACGACCGGTGAGAATTAAGACGCAGGACAAGGGGTGAAACACTGCCAACTTCCCAACTCCGGGCCGTTACTGAGGCTTACTATACAGAAAAACTCGATAATTAAACTTGGCCCGACCCGGGACTCGAACCCAGGACCTCCGGGTGTACAGCCGTACATGCTAGCCACTACACCACCGAGGCAGTTAACACGAATATAAGACAACTATATAAATAAAACAAAGTCGTGTTAGTTACACCATTAAATTATAACTCAAGAACGACTGGACCAATTTTTATGATATTTAATTTTTTGGATATCTCTTAGTCCGGAATAGGATAATAAGTATTAAGGCATCGGAAAAATTCACGAAAAAAATATGGGTCAGCTGGCTAATAACTATTTATATCTATTTAAAACGGACCTAGCGACGAACCCGAGCGAATCGAGAGTGAGCTCTAGTTTTAAATAAAATTTTCGAATGATTTCAAAAATTCAAAAAATATTCAAAAATGGCCTTACAATATAACATTTTAAAATGTTTAATTAGTATTATATAGATTATTCTTTAAGTTTAGCTGTTATTATTATATTTCAATTTTTTTAAACTTTATTAATTAATAATATTATTTAGTGTTGCTATTATTATAATATGTATAACCCTAAAGAATATTAAAAAAATTAATTGATTTATATAAATATTAATCTAAATTACTGTTATTGCGATCCACACAGTATGAACTACATGTAATAATCTGTTATGTTTAATTTTGTTGTTAGACTTTATTATGTTTATTACAGGATCCCACAATGATGGTAGTACCCAGCCATCTTCCCTATTGAAGTTTGGATGTTTTTTTAATTTCAATAGCTTCGCAAATCATCCTTGGGCTATAACGGTTTTCTTTCATGAGTATTTGTGAACCATCAAATTGAATATAGTAGTAATAAATCATTGTTAAAATAATAAACTTACGCAAAGGTTGCTCTTTGAAATATGAGCTCTGAAGACACTCTTCAGCTGTAGCTCTCTTATTAGGGTCATACATGAACAAGAAGTTTAGAAGACGGAGACCAGCAGCAGAGAGCCAGGGGAACTTTTGCTTTAAATTGTTATATGGCTGTTGTTTTAAAGTGAAATTTTGTAATGCTGGCAATGAGCTAAATTCAGGCCAGATTGCATCTGATGGAGTACCTGAAAATACATTAAATTAATATTTTAACTAAACAAAATTTATTTGTGGAATTAAAATTGAAATAAAAATACGTATTTATCACAAAAACCAGCTATTTATATGTATGATTTTTAGCATATTAAGAGATCAGAAAAATATTTTAATTTTAAAATATAGCAGTGTCTTGATACAGACATTAAATTATGTAAGTTTTCCTGGTTGTATGTTATATCATTTTGATACTTAAATGAACAAAATACAAGAACATATGATTATATTATTGAATTATTTAGTTCATTGTAAAATATTTAATATTCAAAATTACCAAGAATTTAAGTAACTACTTTATGAAACTATTGTAGTTGTATATATATTTAATAATAATACTTACCAAGTAAGTCAACTATAAGTTCTAACTGTTCAATTTCTGTTCTACCAGGGAGTAATGGTTTATTAGCCAATAGTTCTCCGAGGATACAACCAGCGGCCCACATATCTAATGCAGGAGTTTGTTTTGGTGACTGCAGGAGGAGCTCGGGTGCTCTGTACCACAGAGTAACAACTCTAGGTGTGGCACAACGCGCGGGGGCGCCTAGCCATCGTGCTAAGCCAAAGTCAGCTAAAAGTATATGATACATATTATTATTACTATATAAAACTATCTTTTTGGATTATTTCACAGATTTATTTTGATCCTTGGTTTCAAAAATCTGCAAAATAATCTGAAAAGACAGTTTTATTTAAAATGTCAAATATTCACATAAATATAAGAAAGTATTGTATTATAACTAATTAAAATTTTATTACTTTCTATTAAAGGTTTGAGGTAGTTATTTATACTCCTTCCAGTCTGCTCATGGAAGTGCATACCTCAGAATAATTATAATATTATTATTATTATTTCATTTATTGTTTTATATTTTAAAAGTATATTTATTAAATGCAAATAGAATAAACAAATGTAATTTTTACCAATTTTTACACATCCTTTATCAGTCAGCAGTAAATTAGATACTTTCAGATCTCTATGAACTATAAAGTTTGAATGTAGGTATTTCAATCCTTTTAATACTTGTAGCATCAAACACTTCACTTGGGATTCAGTAAATGGTGATGACATATTATCTAATAAAGATGCAAGATCCTGCTCACAGTATTCCATTGATAGGAATATGCTAAAAACAGGAAAACATGTGTATGTAAGATAGTTTAAAGGTTAGTGTTAATATTTTTATTAGAAAGGTCAATAAAAACATTTAAAAAGTTAGTTGAGATGTTTTACCTTTCTAATGACCTTCCAACAAGCACTTCTTTGAGTTGTACAACATTCTCATGACGACAAGCCATTAATACTTGTATTTCCCGCAACCCACTTAGAGGCAATCCATCTTTTTCAACATCCATCCTCACTTTCTTTAAAGCCACTATATTTCCATTTAATTTGTCTTTAGCCCTATCTGTAATAGTTTATTATAAATACATATGAACTCCCTCATGAAAAAGCACGAACATATTAGCTTTTTATCAAATACTTACATACAATACCATATGTGCCTTCTCCAATACGATTAAGTTTCTCGAATTCCCCAACAAATCTGCATCTTCCCAACTAAACATTCAAAATACACATACAAAATTTATTAAAAAGAATATATTACGAATATTGCATTGCATATAAACAAAAATGTTAAGGTTAATTAATTTACTATGTCTTTTTCTGGTATCTCCATGGTCTTTCCAGTTCTAAATGATATCAAGACACCTTTGCGAGCTGCAGGACCAGTAGGATCAACAACATCCTGAGAAGGTAAGGGTTTTTCGGAATCTGAAAATATGTAAATATATTGAAATATCAACTAATGTTTACCATGTTATTTCACTGTAATACATCATTATTCTGTGAAAACCTACTTTGAGACATATTACTTGATTAGTATTCGACTACTATATTTTGTCAATATTTAAAGCAATACCTAAATAACACAAACAAACAAATAACAATGCGGTTAGCAGGCCGGCAGCGTAGTCGGCAGTCGGCACCATGGATGACAAATAAAAGTCGGCACTCGGCACAGATCAATGATCATAGACTCATAGAGTATATTGCTACATATAAAAGCACAGATTAAGGAGACTACAGTCGTCGCCCGTCGGCCAACAAGTCCACTGTTAGGTACCCTACCCCAGCCTGCAAATTTATGATATTTGCAATGAAAAAAATACTAATCGATAGATTTTTAATAGCTCAATTCAACTACGTAGCCCTTCCAAATTGCTCACCATTAATTATAAAATTAAAAATCAATAAAGTCCTTGAAAAAAAATTCATTTATCCGTATATTCAAATTTCTATATCTTTTGATATATACAATATTTTAAATTGCTCAAAGTTCTAAAATACTGCTCAAGTTGCATTTGTAATTGCTCAAGTAGAGTTCTCACCAGCTCCACTTTCCTTAATTATTAAATAAATATAAATAGTTTGAATAAATTTAACGTATAGATAGGTGAGTGCGTGAGTGAGTGAGTGATACGCAGTTTATATTCATGCAGTTTGTTTCTTTGAAATAAAAATGTCATTAAACTATATGTATATTTAAAAATAAAAAAGTTCCGTCTTGTATTGATGTTAATAACATTTTACTAATGATCCCTGTCATGGCTATTACCTTAATAGAATAAGCATTTGAACATAAGATTTTGTCTTAATTTATCTGTTGGTATTAATTTTCATTTATTGGTAGATTCCAGATCTGTTCTTTATGTTATAATATCTGAAGTGGAATCACGTAATGTGAACAATTCATAAATTCAATAAATTTAAAGAAATCCACCGAGAAACAGAATTAAGACGTTGAATTGGAACGATTGTCCAAGCCCGCCGAGGCCGACCGACAATGCGCGGTGCGCATGCGCACGCTCACTTAACCTACGTTACATTTATTACAACTATACTTTTAATTATTTAATAATCAGCGAAAGTGGAGCTGGTAAAAACTCTACTTGAGCAATTACAAATGCAACTTGAGCAGTGTTTTAGAACTTTGAGCAATTTGAAATATTGTATACATCAAAAGATATAGGAGTTTGAATATACAGATAAATTAATTTTTTTCAAAGACTTTATTGATTTTTAATTAAATAATTAAAGGTGAGCAATTTGAAAGGGCTACGTAGTTAAATTGAGCTATTGAAAATCTATCGATTAGTATTTTTTTCATTGCAAATATCATAAATTTGCAGGCTGGGGTAGGGTAGGTGCCAACAAGTCCACTGTTCAGTTTCTTTTAGTAATCTGTGATAACTGCAAAGTGTGATTTTTTCTGTTCAGTTCAATATTTTAATAATCTGTGACGCATAAGGCGTATAAAATAAATCTTTACAAATCGAATGAATAGAAACTATTAAGGTGTAAATAAACGATCAAATCTGTCTTTTATTTTTGTCCAGGTTAATCTTTGGAACGGCTTAACCGATTATAATGGCACTTTAACTGAAAAATAGAAAAGTTTGTAGAGCTACAAATAGAATTTGGGAGCATGGTAGTGCCTCCGAGAAGTCGAGCAAAAGAGGGCACGGCATTTTCTACCCCACTTCGCCCGTAACTTCGTTATGGATAAAGCTTAATTTTCTGTCACTAAGAGGACATAATATAACTAGGCATATTTCCAAATTACATTCAATTTCTACCTATAGTTTAAGAACTATTGCAGGTCAAAGTTCTTTAATATTATCACTCACTCATTCACCGATTATAAAAATTCTAAGGTACTTCTAGCAGACACAAGCTTCAAATTTTGAACACAATTAGGGTTTTGCCCAAAACGCAAGGAAGAACTCCAACATCCCGCAATTTCAGTCCCATTTTTTAGATATAGCACAAACCATATTAGTAAATTTTAAAGGCTAAGTCATTTAATAATTAAAGAAATAAAGATACCTAATATTGATACGGTCACTATGAAATGTTGTTACTTAACTAATTAGGCAACAATTTATGACAAAGATGATGGATAGATTTTTCCATAGATAGGTTACAAATTAATCGACTTGGTTTTACATTACATCTTACAATTTTTTGCGCTAGAAGAACTGCGTTGCGAGGCTTGTGTTTTCAATGAGATATATGTTTTATTCCGAAAACATTTAGAGTTCCAGCGCAAAAATCGAAAACCCTTAAAGACTTGAATTTACGTTTCTAAATTGCTAGGAACATACCCAAGCGAAGCGAGGGTTACAACTTGCTAGAATGAAATAAATTTAGCTGTTAGTAATTACCAATGATTTTTTATTTTGTTTAATATATATTTGAATATTGAGCTAACATTATGCATAAATGGATAAATATATGGTGCATAATCTGTGGTATGGTTTTATTTTGACAAGTGACCATAGAGTATACTGCTACACATACCAAAATTGAAATGGATTATTTTTATTTCTAATTAATAATTATAAAATAACTATAAAACAGGCCTGCTTATGGAGCTTTCACGTAAAGCTTTTCAATCTTTAGGAAGATTTTGGAGAACTAATATGTAAGCTTTTAATATACATATTTATACCTACATATTTAGTTCCTCACTAATATTCAAGAAACATCAAGTTTAAGTCTAATATTTATTATTTGGTCATTACACAGTACTTATAAAAATAATATATAATCCAAAGAAGAGATGAGAGTACCAAAAATTTTAAATCCTCGGCTACAAAGTCAATTATTGTAAGTTATTTTTACGATTTTTTAAAATTGTAAATGCTAACTATACTAGTACTGATAGAAACATCGATTTGCTCGTTAATATATGCTTAAAAAGTAAACATGTTTACAGAAAACGCTTTGGTGTTTATGATAAAGTATTACCTGTGGAAACTACTCCAAGCCGATTAGTTCCTGATTTTATAGAAAAGCCAGACTACTTGTTAGGAAAACCGTTATATGTAAGGAAACAACCTGAAATTAAAGATGAAGTACAAATAAATGGAATGAGATGTAGTTGTAGCTTGGCAGCTAATATTTTAAACAAAGTTGGCCCATTTGTCAAGGTACCTAAACAATATTATTTAGTAACTGACATCATAGTATTTATTTTTATGTAGGTATAAATGTAATAAATAATTTGTATATCTTTAGCCAGGAGTGACAACAGATGAAATAGATGAACTTGTTCATAGTTTCACTATAGAAGCGGGAGCATATCCATCACCATTACATTATAAAGGATTCCCTAAAAGTATCTGTACATCCGTTAACAATGTAGCTGTTCATGGAATACCTGATCTTAGACCTTTACAAAATGGAGATATAGTTAATGTGGATATAACAGTAAGATCTATAATTAAAAAAAATGTAAGTTCAGAAAGATTTTATGTTACATATATTACTATAACATTTTAGGTTTTCTTTAAAGGATATCATGGTGATTGCTCAAAGACATTTCTTGTGGGGGATGTTGATGATAGAGGTTTACAACTCGTAAATGTTACTGAGGAATGCCTTAATCAGGTACCAATAACATACACTTAATAATTATCTTAATTTTTAAATTTTACTATACAATAATAAAATAACAACGTCAATACAAAATTTATTGTGTAATCAAAATTTATTTTAAAATATACCCAAAAATAACATTAATAATTGAATTAATAGTATAAAAAATGAGCTGAGCATACAGTGTTGATAACTGAAAATGTTTTAAAACACAACAAAATCGAAAGTGCATAATATTTAACACCATTCAGACAAAGAAAGACAATAGCATTCCCAAGGAGGGTTGACGTCAGGCAGGCGGCCGGTCGTAAAACTTTTGCCAAATCCTATCAGCAGTACACTGAAGATGTACTGCGCCCACCCCAAGTGATTTGGGAAATGGGCAGGGAGAAGAAGAAGAAGAATAATGTTGGCTTGATATTCTTTTACATTTTTGCACAGGCTATACAAATATGCGGTCCTGGTGTACCTTTCTGTGATATTGGTTTTAGAATATACAGAATAGCAAAAAGTTACAAACTCACTGTGTTACCGGCCTTCGTTGGGCATGGGATTGGTAAATACTTCCATGGTCCACCTGAAATATTTCACACAAGTAAATAAGTCTTTAGTTATTTTTTTATATTGACTAATATGGTTATTGATTGAATAGTTGTAGTACCTATGACATTTATAAAGTATACAAAAATTCAGGAAAGATTTTACTTGCAATCTTTAAACAATGCTATTGTTGTATGTCTACTGGTTAAATTCATTCAGTTTTCTGAATTAGTTTTATGACACAATGAATAAAGTTGTATTAACAATAAAATTTCTCTGTTTTAGAAAATCGTTACCCTGGATTGATGAAAGCTGGCATGACATTCACAATTGAGCCAGTTCTATCACATGGTAATGAAATGACAGTTATATTAGAAGATGGCTGGACTGCCATTACAGAAGATGGATCCCGAGCTGCACAAGCTGAGCATACAGTGTTGATAACTGAAAATGGTGCTGAAATTCTGACAAAATAGATAAATATTTATAACAGATTAGTAAAACTAGAATCATTTATAGCCAAATAAAATTGTTTGTTTTCAATGTCGTTTAATTACTTAATTTTAATTGCTAGATATTATTACATATTTATATTATATACTAGCGATTTTAGACTTACCTTCGTTTAGCTCGAGTGCGTCCTCAGATAAGCTTCCATTTTTTTGAGCAGGAACCTAATTCTTTTTCTAAAATAAAGTAGCCTAACTTTCTCCTTTTAACATCAGCTTTATCCTAGTGAAAAACTCGTCAAAATCAGTCCAGCCGTTTCGGAGATTAGCCGGAACAAACGGGCAGACAAACAAAAATTTTAAAAATTGTGTTTTTCTTATAAGCATGTAGGTACCGTATATTGTTTCGTAAGTTTAAGCACTTTTAGTAATAACTATTATGCAGTTATTTTGACATTACATACAGATACTTAAATTTTATTTATCGTTTATGTAGATAATTTACACTTTTATGAGAAATGTATAAACTTATAGTTAACCAGGACATATGGGTAATAATGAAAAGGACAAACTGTATTTGATTTTTTTATTCTAGCTTGAATTCTTAAAATATAAACGTTACTTGTTACATTAAAAGCACAAGCAATATAATTATTATCCCTTATTATAGGCTGTCAGTCAATAGATAAAAAATTTAAAGGCTTTGAAGGAAGGTATCGATTGTAAACGTGTTTCGTAAATATAGTAGGTAAATAGTAATAATATAAGACATAAAGAGAGTAAGGCGTAACCAGAGGGACATAAACACAGCCCCGACATGTTTATATTCGTTTAAAAACTGTGTTCATTTCTTTTACACGTAGTTTGGTCCCATTCTAAATCCAGCTACGCCTCTGACAATAAAATATAACTACAATAAATCGAGTAAATTTCTTAATAGTAAGTAGATAAGAATAGATGACTAGACTTAGATCGCTAATAAAGATAGAAATATTTATGGAATTTGGAATAGCAGCGATCATAGCTAAATTACAATCTACAAAGCACTTGAAAGTTATTAACTTGGTAAAAAATATAACAAACAGTATGTATTGACTAGTCGTAAACATAAGGGAAAAATCCTACCGATATTTCTTATATAGTTACCATGATAATATATATTATAGATATTATAATAGAAAAAAATTTAACATATTGCATTTTTAACATTTGGTGCTTTGGTATCTTATTTTGTATATTTCATTATTAGTAAAGATAAATACTTAAATATAGACGACACTAAACATGATAAAGAGACAAGAATATAGGATATAAATGTATAAAAGGTTAAATTCTTCATTACTTTGGGACATCGTGATAATGAAATTATGAAACCTCAAAATTCAATACTTAACCAAGGACATGTAAATAAGCATATTCCATCCACCCGCCCAAACTACCCAATACTTTTTTGCGCGGTGACTTTTTGTTGCAAAGTCGAATGCTTTAAAGATGAACGAGTGCGTAGTACAGCTGGTCAAGTTGGCCGGCTACAACGAAGCTTGTTCGACCCGAGTTTATATACAACAACATGTTCGATTTAAACAAATTTTTGTCTTTCAGCCGGCAAAACTGTACATAAACAAGCAAGTTTTGTCGCCAAGCGATTATTACCATGCTTACTAGTAGGGGAGCCTAAGAGCGGATTTTGGGATTTACTCAAGCGTGGCAGATTAACATAAAGGGGGATCTACCTTGCACTCTCTTGAGTACCTCCACCATATTTAGGTCGCGCGTCTAGGGCAGCCGATCACTTTTTTTTTTTAGTAAGTTTGAAATACTTGAAACCGTCAGATTAAGGTGTGGTGGGTTTATAACATACTGAAAAGTGTACAGTTCAATAATATGCCGATTTCCACAAGCCGAAGAGGCAAAAATATACCATTTAACTTATGAAAGATTTTTGCCTCTTCGGCGTGTGTAAATCGGCAGATTATTGAATTTTACACTTTTATGCATGTAATAAGTCTACCACAGCTTAATCCGACGGTTTAAAGTATTTCTAACTTATCAAAAAATAAAAAAAAATATTACCGTTAAGGTATCTCCCCCATATGTTAATCTGCCGCCTTTGAATAAATCCCAAAATCCCCTCTTGGGCTCCCCTACTATATCTTAGGCGACGGAAGGAGACAGAGAAAACAGTCGTCGCGACAAAAAGTTGTGGTGAGCGCGAGGTGTCATTAAATTAGAAAAATGTAAACACAAATAAAAATTAAAAAAAAGAAACAATAAAAAAGGCCAAACTAAATCGCAAAAGGGCCTTTACATATTTAACGGACACCTTATACAATAAATAACATTTACTTTAAAAAAATCGTACATACAGTAACTGTAATAATAAATGCGACAAATATAGCAATAATAATTATCAATACTTATATCACTAGGGTGCTTAGGGAAGGATAAAAGAGTGTATAAAAGTTGATAAAAAACTTTAAATAGATTTAACAACATACAAAAGCTACCTCGCGATCATAATATACTCTCTATAATAAAAATACCTAAATATATTTATCACTCAAGGTATAATGTTATAGGTACAAAAACTAAGTGTACCTTTGCAAATAAATAAAAACTTACACATCGCCATAGACACGACAGATTTCGTATTAAATATCTAGCCACTTGAAAATTAAGTACTTGTTCATAGTCAGTAATTTATTAAACAGTACTAATTATAATCAACAATAATTCTAATTTCCATTAAGTTTCTGGTAGGTATATAAAGTTCATGTTTTGGCTTTAGCGGTTTTATTCACGCTAGCTGATTAAAATCAGAAATTTTGTAAGCGCTTATTAAGTACCGTTAACCTATTTAAATTTAAACCCACTAAAAATTTTCTATGGAAGATAATAAACACGACAAAAGGGTTGCGTACCAAAAACGGAAAAACGGAATCTTACACTACAGGATGACACACACGTGCGTCTTTCTGACAAGTGACATTACATTCTATTTGAATTATTGAAATTTAATAGCTTCCCGCCATTTTCCTTGAGGGTTACGCAAATATCATAAAAACATATATATTTTATATCACAGACGGGTTGTCAAGTGAAATATCAAGTTCAATTTTTCGTAAGATAAGCCAACTTATACATGAGGGACCACTTTATGGCTTTCACGATAGAGGTATATTATGTAATATATGATTGATGGCATCATATCATCATCAGATGTTTTTTTTTCTTTTGAAATATATTATTTTTTAAATTTACGGAATGTAAAATAAATAATTATAAATATTGTATTTAATATGAGATACAAAGAACGATCCTATTTCGAATCTCATATGATATAAAAATAATATAATACAATACCTACCTACTGTCTTTTCAATGAATAAAAAGAACATATCATAGAAAAAAACATTTAAATTAATGTCCATAAATAATACTTTCTTAGATTTACGCGAATATTTGACATTTTAAATAAAACTACCTTTTCGGATTTTTTCGCGAATTTACCTATTTTGATTTTTAGTTCCTGTCGCGTCGTTTCGAATGCTTTACAGCAATCAACAAAAAAAACAAAAGAAATTTGTGTAAAAATCCGATTAGTTTTATTTATAATGTACATAATTTTTAGATTATTGCTCCTAAATATCGCGTGACTTCTTCATTAGTTTCCTAATAAGCGACTCGTCAACTATTTTAAAAAATCGATATCAAACACGAGCGTGTAAAAGAAGGTTGCGTGTCTAATTTATATTCGTGAGGTCAATTATCCATTATTAAAATATTTTTTTGATTTGTCGCACGAGGCATTAAGGCTGTTATTATAATGCATGAAATTTCAGGTTGTTTTAAACCTAGTGCATATTGTTTTAAAAAAAAGGTATAGCAAGTCTATGGCGACGTAACCATCATAATAATAGTAATAATATACAATATATTTAACTAATCACACATCAAACCACTATATAATATAATATAAAACAAAAGCACTAGATTTTTAGAATAAACTTCAAAATCACACTAACAGTAATAATTACACTACGGGACTTAAGTTTGGACTTTTAAGTCTGCCCGTGGTGACCACGGCTGGTGCATACTAATCGAAACGTCGGGAACAAGGTACATATATAGCCACTTACGAATTTACGCGTTAAGTCCCGTAGTGTAATTATAACATAATTATGAAACGCGATAATTTAAAAAGTTATATCACACTAACAGGTTACCTACCTTAAAGCTTCATTCCACAGACACAAGATAAATAAATGGCAATAATCGTAATTAACACTATCATAAATTGAGATCTTCGTAACAGTCGTATTAATAAATATAAGCAAAAATATCCAAACATTCCGTAAACTTTCAGAATAATATTAAACCTAAGGAAATAGTTACCTTAAAGGTGGGTTTTCACCAATGAAAAACTGTCAACTTTTGTGTTGTCAATACGTGTTGGTGATAAAAGCTTGTATGCTAATGTCGGGAATACCATTAAAAGAACGCGCTTGTTGCCGATATTCATTCGCTCTGTGGGTACGCTCAGTTGGGCATCAGCATTAGTTCCCTGTTTTCCAATTACAGAGCATAATGCCGCACTTTGGCGCACTAACCCGAACAACGCGAAAAAACACGTCTTATATTTTCTACTACTGAGTTGGTTGGTCACGCCAAAGCAGTACTTTTCAAAGTGCTCGATTCTGCGGAGCGGTTGTAGATGAAAAATTCAAAGTTGAGCATTATGCCGCATGATGCGCTTTAGTGCTGTAAATTGTAATTGGAAAACAAAGAAACACATCTGTCACGTGGACGAACAAATTAATCGACACGTTGAGTTGCAAATAATTGAAACCACAGAACTTGCCAACAATTTCAGTGAAAACACGCCTTTATATTTGTATACATATGTATTTAGTTTTCCACCAACTTCCAAAAAGGAGGAGGTTCTATGTTCGTCTGTATGTATTTTTTTTTGTTTTATGTTACATAATCAATTTATCATTAGATAAAAAAGAGAATGAAATCAGTTTTTATATTCTAACATGGTATGGCAAACATTATCTCTCATATGTTAGAATCTTTGGCAAAATAGAGAAAAAATTAAAAAGCTAGTCTAAAGAAAAACTTTCAACTGAATGTTTACGAAATCTGTGAATAACATTGTACTTTGGTAATCACTTTGAAATATATTTTTGTACATTTATTTTAACCAGCAAAATTTTATACTGAAAAAATATTTCATAAAATTTTAATATTGGGACATTCATAATAAAAATGTGTAATTATATTTGCATTAATTCCAATAAAATGTTAAATATCGTAGCTTTTATATATAACTACTATAATCATAATTATCCTAATTTTTATAGTCATAACTGTAGTTTAATTTTACTGTCAAATCATTACCAAAACATATTTCAATAATTTATAACAGCAAAGTTTAAATGACAAAAAAACTACTTACTTATTATGTGAATTTGGTAAAAAGTTTTTTGTGCAAAAAACCATTCAATTGCTAGTGGATAAAGAATCAGTGCTATTATGATAAAATGGTCTATGCTGTTGAACTGATCTATTCATAAATTATCTTTTTCAATAGAAAAAGAATCACTAAAAAATGTAAAGTCAATTAATTTTTTTTAAAACTATAACTATAACAACATAGGAGAACATCAAACAAAACTAATGTTATAATAACAATAAAATATACATTTTGACTATCTAAACCTCACATTTTTGTACTACTTTTCAATTTTGTAGAAACGCTGTACAAAATCAGTTAAATTAAAAACTTGACCCGGACCCAACTCTAAATCCATATTGATGTACTCATCTAAGTTGTGAGTTGAAGCTGAAATAAAAGAACAATTATATAGACATTTATTACATGCCTCTGCAAATCAAGGATATGAGATATTTTATTTGTTTACTAAGGACGAACCTGTAGCGAAGTGAGAGTAGTCGCAAGTCACAGTCTCGGTGAGAAACAAAAAAAAGTTAATTCCACGGGAACCATACTTGTTTCCAGAATAAAAATGTGCTATTCCAGACTATAATTTATCTCTGTGCCAGATTTCATCAAGATCTGTTCAGCCATTCTTGTGTGATTGAATAACAAACATCCATCCAAACTTTGACATTTACAATATTAATGGGATAAAGGACAATGCAACCTGTTGTATGGGCCAATGACATCACTTTTTTTTCTTTTGAAAAATTCACATACCACTATTGGGTCTCATGACTCATTAGATAAAATTACATAAATAACATTGTTGGACTAAAGAAAATAAATGCCAATGCACACATTCTTAGAAAAGAAAAATGAATCCACTTGCTACTAAGGTCCCTTGCTCAATTAATATAATGACATTTGTATGTTTTCTAAAATAGGTTAGTTGCTCAACTCAAGCTGGTAGGGCAGGGACTGCTAATTTTTTTTATGGGTCTCCATTTTGATAATCGCTAAACTGATTTGATTGTGCTATAGTTAGATTATTTTCTTGTATGACTTGAAAGAACAAATCTTAAATATTTATTGTACCAAAAATATAACCTAATTAAAGAGATGAATCTGTTTTTTTCACATATTTATTTACAATAGCACTAAAATTAGGTTTCATGTCTGACAATGTTTTATTTAACTCTCAGACAGAATTTGAAACCACTGTGACCTTCCATGAAACCCTAGAGTTCTGCAGACCATCATTTGGGAGCCGCTGGACTAGAGTATTTATTTATTAATAACACCCGATAAATGCAAATAACAAGCACTATATCTGTTTATTACTGTTGGGCGAGTTGGTTTCTTCTTCAAAAGATTTTATATAGTGTTCTAATTATGATCTAAATTTTATTACGAGCAAAAGAAAAAACATGATGCCAATAGTAGTCGTAATTTTTACAACCTCATTAAGGTCTATATTATGATTATAGTTATGATATACTTACAAGTAGTGCAGATAGCAGAGTAAGGGGGAGGTGGTTTGATCCAAGAACCATCAGGCCTCTTCATATGACGTCTGTCTGATGCAAAATGCTGCAAAAATTGCTTTGCAGGAACTACACGGAAGAATCTAAAAATGAGTTTATATTAATGAATGTTTGTAGTCATGAAAATTATTTATTTTCTTTTTATATAAATTATATATGCAAAATTCATGAATAACAAATACTAGTAAAATAACAGTTGAATTTACCTGTGGAAATCAGACTTTAAAACTTGATCTGTACGAAAAGTTTCTGTGACATATTTGTGGAAGAAAGTTGGAAACGGAAGTTCAGAGTCCAAATCATATACAAGGCATGTTTTGCAGTCAATAGAATAAAGAAATATTACATGATAATCCTGTAAAAAAATTGTATTTGGTAACCATTACTTAATAAATGTTATAAATTGCAGATAGCTTCTAGTTTCACAATAAAAAAATTTAAAAATTAAAGATTATAATAATTTAGATATTATTTTCTTGTATCAAATTTAAAGAACAATGTACCTGTAATAATAGAAAATTATTTCATATTCTAAACGTGTAAATACAAAGCATTATACTGTAATAACACACCCAAATGACTAGACGATCTTCCTCGCGCCCAGCCCTTTGTTTCCACAATGGTACCGTGCGGCAAGGATTAGAAATGAAAACCACGTAGCATCTATCCAGCTCCCCAGGTACCCTTAACGATACATCTTGACACAACTTCCAGACGTTCTCTTCACTGCAGTGCAGTAAAAACAGAAACAAAGTAAAATATTAACCACCAAAATTCTTTAAATAATAGAATTGTAAGTTAAAAAGCTAATTATACTCGCCAATAACAAGACACATATGAACACTCTGCTTGTTTTGGAAACAAAGGTTTTAAGGCTTTATCATTCTTTTTATTATTTTCATTTTTGAGATGCACTTGTGCATTGACCGACATTTTGACAGGTAGACTAATAAAAATGCGTAGGGGTGAAATGTGAATGGTGATTGGTGATAGATAAATTTAAGTAAAAGAACCATAAAGTTCTAAATTTTTAAAGACCAATGTCATCTAATAGTTCCTATTCGCGACACTAATGCTTATAAGTAAAGCCGTTGATACACATGCCTGTACATGTTTGTGTACATGCCAATATGTTTAACATTTGTTGCATATTGTGTAAGACGCATATGCATAAGCACAGTAGGGGAAGGCAAACCACATGTCAAATACCACAATATTTTACACATTGAACTAAATTAAAGTTGAGTTACATTCTTCATGACTAGCCACCGCAATATCCAAGACCGGTTCAAATCTGCCCAATCTCCTTTTACACATAACACAAGTGCGTAGCATCTATAATAGTTATAATAGTTTGTAATACAATATATTTAAGATTTAGCTACTTATTTCATGCCGCTCAACGTATTGAAAACGGGTTTGACGTTCTGTATAATATTATCTGTTGTACTTTTGTATTAAAAAAATATAAAGATAGACAACCAAAGTCTATGGTAACATGGCCAGCTGGTTAAAAGTTTGAAGCTTGTACAGAAAAGCTAATCTTCTCTTTTAGTTGCTTCCAAATTACTTTCATATTGGAGAGAAGGAGGGCGGTGCGTCGTCCTAGGTTTCGGCCGGACTAGCGTATCGTCCGTACTTTATAATTGGTGTTTAAATTTCATTATAATATATATCGTATTCAATTGTTTTTTAAGAAACAGCTACGATGACCCGTAAGTACCATCGAAACATTTATCATTTGTAAATTTGTAATCTTAATTTACATATTTAAATTGTTTATAATAATGATGTCTTTCAAAAATTACAATTCAATCCATAGAATGTTCTAGATGTTCATTGTCTAGAGTAACGTGACAATGTGATGACTCAAAAATGACGCCTTGTTATTTATCGTAAAATCTGATTTATTTTAGTGTGTATATAGTACAACAGCTATAAAATAATATTTATAAATAACAACAATAGAGACTGTCCTGTGATGTAATGTAAATAACCAAATGTCAACTGAATTGCAGACCTTGATCTAAATTGTTCAAATGAATTTTAGGTGGAAACCAGAGAGATCTAGCTCGTGCTAAAAATCAGAAGAAACAACAAGAGATACAAAAAAAGAAGACTGCCAGTGAAAAAACCGGCATGTCACTTTCTGAAAGAAAACATAGGTACCAGGTTTAGTTTCAAAATTTGTTTACACAATATATATCTATTGCTTATTTGATATGATGAAGAAATTACATAAGGAATATATAGGTTATATGACTTATAGTCTCTAAAGTAGTAGCCTGGTTCTTTATAACATCTTTGAAATTGAATGAGGATAATGCATATGTTAGTATTTTCATTTCCTTTCATGAATTTGAAAAATTATTGTTATCTAATAATGTAAATAAACATATATAAAATTAGTTAATACATAGAAATAGATGTTCTAAAAATTTCAGTTCAATATAATATCACCCAGAGCTGATTTTATTTAGCAATTAGGTATATTTACAATTTTAATTCCATTTTAAAGTACATTTTGTTTTAGGGATGCTGAATTAATGAGAGAAAAACAACGAAGAAAGGAAGAACAACAGCAACCAATGAATCGTAAACAGGCTGTTAATTAATTATGAAATATCAAAATCAAATGTTTGACTGCGGATATTTATGAAAAATAAGTCAATACTTCAGTTGGTTTGCTGTGACAATTAGTTGAAGTGTTAAATAATCCTCTTTAATATTGAATTTAAAGAAAATTTTACCTAACTGCCTAATAAATCACCCAATATGAATAGTGTTTTTCTTTGTTGTTAAATGTTCATGTAAACTATGTACAATAAGCTCTGATTCTTTGATCTGAATTGTTAAGATGGATGAAGAATACCAATGTAATTTCTAATATCTTTAGCATTTATGAAGTCTTCATTTGACTGAATAGATTTGTATGTATACTATTCAACTACCCAATTTTATAAAAAATAAACATTAAAAAATGAATTCTGATTGTTTTTGTTGTTGATTAACAATGGGGTTTCAATTACTACTTTACCTATATGTCAAGCATTCAGGTTTAAACTAATATTAATCAAAGGTAAAAAAATATTATTTAAGAAAAAGCTGTTACATATGTTTAATAAAGACAATCCACTCAAATAGACAATGCATTGTAAATCTGACATAATGAGATAAAAAAATAATGCATGCTCAACTTTCTTTACCTTGAACATGTATTGATTTTGACTTACAATTTGTATATAAGCTGGTATTGTAAGGCTTGTTTTTAATATGTATTTTTCTGTAATCCTGATCATGTTAATTTTAGAAAACTATCTACAAGTTAACAGTTATACATACAAAAATAACGTACAACGCACAAGTGTATCTTTGACCTGCTCAATGAGTATGAAAACTTTCATAAATAAATATAATTACAATACCTTAAGTTATTACAAACTTAAGATATTAACTTTTAACTGTTATTTACATATCTGTAAATAACAATGTTATGAATACGAAAGTTTGGCAGTATTTATTTATAACTAGCATTGCTCGCGGCTCCGCCCGCGTTCAGATGACCAAAAACCAAAGTCTTAGGTTTTACGTAATAGTATACTCTTACAATGCAGTTTTTGTATTTTTTCTCAGAAATGAGTTATTTTCCTGCGGTAAAAAGTACCCAATATGTTGACCCGGATAACCAGCTATCATCATACCAAATTTCATGTAAATCCTTCCAGTGGTTTTTCTGTGATGCGGTAACAGACAGACAGACAAAAATTCTATAAACTAGATTCGCCTCTATATCGATAATAATGTCTATTTCAATAAGATTTTCCAAAAAATATTTAATGTACAGATTTGACTTAGTTACAATTTTATTATATGTATAGACGTAACAGTTGAAGGAAATTTAGAATGGAGATAGTATATACATCTTGGTTCCCGAATCTCTGAGCCATGGGTAAACATTGCTCGACTTTTTTGACTTTCAGCTCGAGCTATCTCTGTGCTCCTTTGTTAAGTGGGATGTGGTTATTAGCTATTATAATATAATAGGTAGTTGCAACATGGACAAGGAGCGCATTGTAAGTACCATGGGGTCTCATCACGAACAAAGAAAAAATAGTTCAAATAAATGTCAAAAGGTGACGTTACATTTATCGATTTGTTTACGAGTTAGAGTTGTGTTAAATTAGATACAAAAACATATATTATTGTTTAAAAAAAATATTCTAAGAGAAAGGAAATAACGCTCCCGTAAATCAAATTTGCGTAATTATATTGATTATTGAAATATTAGCAATCAGATGATGTGTTTCTAGTGTATATTCACAGATGGCGCTTTTACTTTTTATGAATTGTTTATCACGGTTAAAAAATCTTAAAATCCCAGATTTTTTTATTTGCAAAATGAATTTTACAATATTTACCATTCATTAGTTTGCACATATTTATAAATCAAAACAGTAACTACTTGCGAATCAACGACATCTATTATCTATTGAAGCAAACAAAAATAGCCCGAAGAATTAGGGCTGTCCAATTTTTGTTTGGAATGAGGCATCTGTACTAGTATGTGATCTGTGTATGTACTTTGCAAATATATCTATTAGAATTTGTGCAAAGTTAATTCAATGGCAAAAATATATTGGCATATTTTTGTCAGCTTCACATATTACCATTTTAGATTTTTAAAGTTAAATAATTGAGGGAATTAATCAGTTATACAATTGATTACATATTTGAAATTTTATTACTGTTACAATGACACATGATGGAGGTAGATATATTTATACCATTTGGTATACTTATTACCATCCAGTATAGATGAAGTTACTCTATGTGATAGTCATAATTAAGACGCATAATAAATATTCTTGTTTTTTATTCATATAGGTATTTGTGCCTCATTGCTAAATCTCTTTGATTTTTCAGTATTTTAGTGGAATATCCACGAAAATGTAATATTTCAATAAAATGATTAAATTGAACGAATTATTAAATTAAAAATGGCTATTTTTTTAAATTAGCTAAACACAAATAAAACTTTGTAGAAGAAGTACCTATAGAGAATGTCTTGAAAATAAAATGTTACTACATTCTATCACTGATTAATGATGAAATTATGATGAAGTTTTAAAACAATCATACCTAATACTTAATGTACCGTTTTAACAAAATCACTATCACAGATATTATAGTTGGTTTTGACTGCCAACATATTTAGCGGACATATTACAAGTTTGTAGCCTTAACCATATACATTATTATAGATGCAGCATTATTAAAAGCATCTAAGAGTTTGTTAAATTAAATTATTAAGATGATATCTATATTTCAAAAATTTGGTATTGGATACATTATGAATTATTTTGTTATACTATTAAACATTTAAAAAAAAACTATAATCAGTAATAACTAAGCACATAATGTTAGCATAAAAATAAAAAGGTTTTCAAAACTTTGTGGCTGTTTTATTTAGAAAACAGCAATTTATAAAAAAAAAACGAAATAAAACATGGAACATACATTTCTTAGGAACAAATAATGTAAATAATCTATTAAAACTTAATAATTAATTATAAGAAATAAACAATAACATTTAGTACAAATAAATTGTAAGTTTATAAAACTGATCAGCACTTAAGTTTATGTGTAATACAAAACACCCAACTAAGCTCAAATATTTCAGCATCATGAATGTATAAAGAAACAAAATCACTAAATTACGCTGATTTTAATTTACCTAATGGTACCAAACTTATAGTGTACCATTAAGAGATTTTATCTCAAATTCTTGCCTCTGCCTATAAAGTTCTTTAGCTAAATCTTGAATAAATGGATGATCAAATTTTCCATAACAAGCTTTGAAGAATTCTTCTAATTTTTTTGGTGCATTTTCTCGTTTTTCATATTCAAAAGCTTGAAGGATCATATCATAGCGGTCTAAGTCTTTTGCAAATTTGGCTTCAGGAGAAGATTGATTTTCATATTCCTGCAATTGATATTTTTATTTAATATAGTAAAATGAAAAGAAGAGTGTAAAGGACAATGGGAAATTTTGTCCCCAGTGTACCAAGTTATGATATGTTTAATTTTAAAGATCAGTAGCTGTGCTGCATGGTACACTATATAAAATAATACTTAAACCTAAATTATGCTGTTTTAGACTTTCAGGGGTTTAATTAAACCAATGATTTATAGTTCTTTCTCAGCAAATGTGTCATTGTTGATGTCATACAATAAAATAAAGCTATAATTATACCTTTAAAATTACATATTATATTACAACTCTCTTTTTCCTTTGATATATTATGCTTTAAATGTATCTAAGTTATATATAAAATACTTAAACCTTAATTATAGTAAAAACACATTTTTTTGTCAATAAATATAAGTGATAAGTACCTTATAAAGATCATACATTCTATCACCAGCAATACCAGTAAGCTCTGCAATTGTTTTCATTGCTTCATCTTCTCTCCTATGTTTTTCGTCTGGAGAAACACCACAATGTGGTGTAATATCGCCCACAATACATTCAGCTAGGTCGTGTACTAAGGCTGAAAAATGTAAAAATGATGACGATTGTCCTAGTTATTTATTATTGTGTTTAGTTAAAAAGGATTCATTCATTATTTCAAAATAGTTACCAATTTGTAAACAACGAAATCGATCTAATTTTGTAGGGTTGTTCTCTTCAGTCAGAAGGAAAGTCATCATACCCATGCGATACATATGGCCAGCTATGGATTCGCACTCATTAATATCACATATGACCCACCCAGTTCTCTTTTCGTGCTGTAAAATTATAATTTTATGGTTGAAAATAATACCATCTGCACTAATAAGTAAAAATATAAATTAAATTTTACATACCTTAAGACGGCCAACTAATTCCAAAAATTGGAGTATTTTAGTGCTTTCCATTAATGCCATAATGCTAAAAATATTAAGATTTGTACAACTGTTCTTGTGTTAAAATTACAAACTACTCGCTATCACTTTAATAAGCAATACTTTAGCAAATTAAACGATATATTATACGAAACTATTTCCTATAGATTGCTACCAACTCGATTGCCATGGCCATCCATAATCCTATCAAACTTCAAAGAATCCTATCATGGATAATTTGTATTTAGTAATTGTTATTTGATAAATAAAATCCTTATAAGTGGATACCAAAGACAATAGATTAGATAGAAAATTAGAAATTGGGTTTGGGATCGTTTACTGACAGTTAACTGTTCCTGCTTCCTGTTCTGTGACTAAATATCTCAGTGCTGCCAACACTTGAAATTTTATTATCCTGAGAGTAATTTTGAAAACCCCTAAAACCCCCTGACGATTTGAAAAATGTAGGTTTTTATCTAATACTATTTTTTTTTCATTTTCAATATATATTTTTTCTTAAATACATTTTTGACAATTGATACTGATATTGATACAATTAATTACAAGTAGCGTAAAAACCTATTTATGGTTATTATTTTAATAATTACATTTAACCAGTTAATAATTTTTTTTTATAGATAACTTATAAAACAATAAAAATGACAAATTATGCATATGATATTTAAATATATATGATTTTTCCAAGTCTTTAAACGTAGCCAAAAAGGCAGTGGTAGCCAAGTGGTAACGCGCTTGCTTCGGAAACCGAGTAAAGCGAGTTCAAATCTAGGGTCTCACACCTCTGATATTTTATGTGCGAATCATTTCCTTCATGATTACCACTTGTCTTAACGGCGAAGGAAAACATAGTGAGGAAAACTGCATGTCTGAGAGAACTTAGCAAGTTTTTAAAAAGACATGTGAAGCCCGCCAACCCGCACTTGGCCAGCGTGATGGACTATGGCCTGATTCCCCAATACTGAAGGGAGGCTCGTGCCTAGCAGTGGGACGTTAAAAAGAGCCGATATACTGATACTGATACGTTAAACGAAACTTTATAAAACGTTATTGATATTTAAGTTATGCTATTAAAGAAAAAAACCCTAAAAAAACGGTGCAATTATTTACCCCTAAAGGGAAGAAAACCGCTCAATCAACAGTCTAAGGACCAGGGCTGTCAGTAAATAGTCGTTGATTTACCCGACTAATAAACCTCAAAATACCCGGTTTATCCTGCCGGCGCCAATCATGAGTAGAATACCCAAAATAGTTTTTTAAAGTAATTTATTCATATTTTATATAGAATAAAAGAAAATGCTAATTTTAGCAAAAAAAGTCATTGTAATCAGTTCTCAACTAAACAGCTTTAAATTATTAAATTAAACATTAAAAAAACTGAAAATATCAAATTAATCAGCTGAACTAAAATACCTTTTATCTACTAAAATACCTGTCAAAATTACTGGCCATCAAAAATCGTCTAAAATTACCCGCTTTTTGGGTAATTTACCCGCAATTGGCTGCTCTGCTAAGGACTAAGGTTGCCAGCAGGGCTGCCACATAACAGTCGTTGATTTACCCGAATAGTAATCTCGAAAGTTTATCCCGTCGGCGCCAACCATGAGCAGAATACCTGAAAATCATTTTTTAGATAATTAAGTATGTCTTCTTCTGCCTGACATTATTAATCCCGGCTATTGCCAGGGTCTGCCTTCCTACTAAGTCTCCTCCACTTTGCACGGTCTTTGACGTCATCCTGTGTGAGTCCATTGGCTCTCATATCCTTCTTCACGACATCCAGCCATCGCTTTCTTGGGCGCCCGGGGGGTCTTGTTCCAGGGACAGACATAGAATAATAAAGAAAGTACTAATATTAGGAAATATAGTCACTGTAATCAGTTCTCAATTAAACAGCTTTAAATTATTGAATCAAACATGAAAAAAAACTTAAAATATCAAATTAATCAATTTCCGCTCGTACTTGGCTCAGAGTAGGAAGATGACCATAATTTGGTTGGTGACATTTGAACACTGGGCTGGAATTTCACGATATATCCTGGTTTACGGATAACTTCCCGCGCGGCTATTGCAACAACAATATCTGTGTTCAATGAGTTTCGATGACCTGTTTTAATGTTTTTTAAATTACTATCATGATAATCTTGCCAGCTAAACTAAAATACCCGAGGTTACTCCTCTCAATGCAAATACTTGGCAAAATTACCCGCCATCAAAAAATCGCGTAAATTAACGGTTTTTGGGTAATTACCCGCGCTGGTTGTCAGTATCATGTTACTAAACCTAAAAGACAGACTTGATTACTAGCAGGGTTGGATCCAGAGCCTCAAAAAAATATTATACATAGATAATAAAATTATACTACTTGTCCAAAATTATACTACGTTTGACGTTTCATGTTTTTCACGTTTCGTTTTACGGCGTTTTTGTATGGAATTGAAATAAACTTGCATAAGTATTAAGATTGAAAGAGAAAAAAAACAATGGAAAAGAATTTGTTAAACAAATCTACTTTCAATATACAATTTTTATGATGAATATAATTTTTTCTCGTGTTTTTCCCCTCAGAATGAATCGATAAAACATGCTTTGCGGCCATCATTGAAACATTACATACTTTACATCGTGCTTTGAAATTATATTGAGGATCACGAGTAAGCCACTTACTAAATTTTGGATCACTCTCCTATTCGACTCTGTATTTTTGTTGTCTATGTTTTTCCTTCACTTTTAAATCGCCTCTTTCAACGCGTTTCTTCTTTGGCGTCGAAACACCGCACTTTGTGACTTTTATTCGCCCTCACTTTCTCTCATGATTACAAATTGAGACTACAAATAAAAACAGTTTATTCTCAAAATTGTCAAAGCGTAAGAAACAATAATGTACACACGTCACAAACTACAATATTATACTAGTTTATAACTTTATACTAATGTATCTATACTGCAACAATTCACTGTCAAGTTTTGTACTTGGTCAAAATATTGCTATGAACATGATATGACGGTAATATTACATATAACATTACCGTGAGATATCGTCTCTCTCGCAGTTATTTATAAATCGGTCCAATTATGTTTATGACAAAAATGTCAGAACGAATGGAATAGTAAAAAGCATGGAAATGATTGCTACTTTTAAATCATTATCACGTGATGAAATTACAACAATTTTTCACGTGATTTCACCTGCTACTTTTCACACATAGATTTTTGATTTCGACGGAAATGTCACCAATGGCGCTACTGATGTGATATGGAGCAGAGATATAGATCTGACGTAGTTGCATACGTACATGGTGCTTTGAATGAACCTATTTTCAAACAATGAACTTTCCCTCATACTTCTACAGGCTTGGGACTGACAATGTAAAATTAAATGAATTTTAAATATATCAGAGTAATCACACGGTAAAATTGTATTAAGCTAAGTTCCATAATTACATTGGCGTATTTAAAAGTTCATTGTTTTTATGTACAATAAGAATTTTTATAAAAGAATTTTATACACTTTTTTTTTGTTTTTCTTAATTTTTTTAATTTGTTTATAATCATTTTTTTTGCTTTTTGATTTTTTTTATGATTGATTTTTTTATGAGATATCTATATACAATAGTCTTCATTGCTTTTTAAAAATACAAGTTCCGCTGTTCGTTTTCTGCTTAATCGTGCTCTTTTTTGGGTTGCAAAATTTCCCGCTTTTGAAAATACTCTCTCACACTCCACTGATGTCACCACGATGTGACAGTGCTCATGAAATATTTCCGCCAAATTGGGGTACATATAGGAGTGAGATTTCCACCAAACTAATGGCGAAGAATCGCGCGGAAGCACTGGTTCATTAATAAACATTTCTAGCTCGTTCTCAGCGTTGGTGGTTATGTCTGTACGTATTACACATAATCATTCAGTAAAAATTATAAGTATTTGTTGGATAAAAAACTAAAAATGTGCTCTAAATTTAATTGTTGTTTCTAATTTAAAATTATTTCTAAACAATATTTCTAAGAATCCGAAATCATGCAACTCGAAATAAATAAACTCCCCAATTTACTGATCAACGGTATTAACTGAAAATTGTATTTTGTTGAATAAAAAATCAATAAAAACATCAGTACGAAAATGTATACGGAAAATGCGAGTAACGAAATGCATTCGTGAGTAACGTTTCGGTACTCGGTACTAGATGGCGTACCCGTTACTCAGTAACGAATACATACGGTTTGCTACAGCTCTAGATTTCACCAAGTTGTGATTTGTAGCAGCCACTATGAATTTAAGTAGCAGGTGTGACGTATGATTACGCATTTCACGTGATTTTTCACTTGCTACTCGTGAAATGTTCCATCCCTAAGTAAAACATCACATGGGGAAACCCCGCCTACCTTGTCATTGCCTAATTTGGTGTTGCCGTACGTTCAGAAATTCCCGAGATTGTAGAGTTAATATTAAAAAGTAAAAGTACTCACCAATAATACAAGTCGGTCGACCTAAAGATAAAATTATGGTATTTTTACGTAGTATAGTGGCAATACGATACTACATACTACACACTATGAAATAATGGTACAAATAGTATAATTATACTACGAAATCCAACACTGAATTTACTAGAAACGTTTGACATAAGCAGAGAAGACATAAGGAGTACTATCTCTGTGGTGAAAAAGTGTCCGTCGAAACGCGTCCAATAAGGGTGACGCTGCGGTAGCGTAGGATAAATTTTAAAGGAAGCGCCAGAAGTAAGATAAAGAAATAAAGTACGATGGTTATATTTACTAAATTATTTTAGACTATGTAAATAAATAATTGAGGTTTTGTAAACTGGTATTTCATTAACTACTTTAGTCATGGAAAGTGTTAAATAACACAGACAGATTTCAAAAAGCACAGACAGACTACAAAAGAACACAGCACACTTCACTCTCCCTGTTTTCCAATTACAGATCATAATGCCGCACTTTGGCTTACATACATGAACAACGCGAAAAATTCTTCTTATATTTTCTGATAATGTGTTGATAATTGATATCCGTTGCGCGCATCACGCCAAAGCAGTACCTTTCAAAGTGTTCGATTGCGCGGAGTGTTGCTGTAGTTAAAAAAATCGAAGTTGAGCATTATGTCACATAATACGCTTTAGTGCTATAATTGGAAAACGCTGCCCATCTCGTCGTTTTTCGTGCGCCTTTCTCGATCAAGAATGTGATGTCCCGATAGAAAGGGACAAAGAATAATCCCCAATTCCGGCATCCCTTTTTATCTCTTTTTATTTTATACGGTTAAAACATGAAAGTGACAAAATTAAAGAACACGAAATAAAGAATTAGAATGTACTATAATAATTTAACTTTATTTTAACGAAATTAAATTTTATTTTAATTTCATAAGCTATTCTTTTAATTTATTACAAAAATTAAGATATTTAAAAAATAAATTCTTCGTTACTTATTGTGCATGTGCATTTCTTTTAATTTGATGTTATGCGCCATATAAAGTCTACTAATGCGCATGCATCATGAAACAAAGATAGAACTAGGGAGATATTTTCTATCTTTTTTTCCACGCCTCACCGCCACGTATTATAGTGCTGAATGGGAGTTGCCTACTTGTTGTAGTTGTGTATTATCTCTATGACACCAGCGCCATTCTGGTAGGTAGGTGCTAGAACCTCTATTTTCAGCACTGGAAACTTTTTCAACATCCTAGTACAAGACGGTTCCCCTTACCTTTACCCTCCATAATTTGAATACATAGATTTAATTATTAACAAGCAACTTACCTTTGCTTTGTTCAGGTGCATTCCTAGGCACGTTTTTTTGAGCGGAACCTTAAATAAAAGTAGGATAAGAATACTCCTTATAACATCAGCTATCTGCCAGTAAAAGTCACGTCAAAGTCAGTCCAGTAGTTTCGGAGATTAGCCGGAACAAACAGACAGACAGACAAAAAATATATAAAAAAGTGTGTTTTTTTAATAAGTGCCGTGTATAAATTCGTATGCATTTAGTAAAAATCTGTTATTTTGGCATTACAGGCAGATATAATCATTGCACCTTCGAGTAAGCGCACATAATAAGGACAAAGTTCATCCCTGTAGGCGAAAAGAAATACAATGACTTGGTCGTAGCTGTATAGCGTAATTTATACTTTGAATGGGATACTAGACTCTGAAAACGATTTGGGACCTCTGTAAAAAGCATCAAATTCAATGAAGTGAGAAACATTAAGCCCTATGGTTTAATGTCTATATTAATCATATCATGAATAAATTACATAAACCCTTTTTTTTTTTTTTTTTTTTTTTTTTAACGTTGGGAAATGCATTTACGCACGACGTGTGGGACTCACCGGCGTAATACAGCCAGTACTACCCACTAAAACCCAACAAAACCTTCCCCCGTCTTAATGGGGCGTCGCAGGATCGCTTACGCATTCAACTAGGACGCCCCGACGGCAGGTCCGCCGAAGCAGACCACCACAACCATGGGGTTGCTCCACAGTCCACTCTGCTATCAGAGAAGTACCAGGAGCAACCCGCATGGTACACCGCCCTCCGAAGAGGGCCACCTCCCACCGCCCACCGAAGTGGGCAACCTCCCTGTGCGTTTCTTAGCTTCGCTACTGCTACTGAGCCCCCCCACCACGACAAGGTGAACGCACGTTGGGGGGGAAATTACATAAACCCTGAAATAAGTTTTAATTGTTATATTCTATAGTTTTTAACGTTGGGAAATCCGTTTATAAATACGGTGTGCGTGTGTTCATTTGTGACTGAAGGAGCCAATACTTTCGTAAGGAATTAACTAATATAGTTAATCTGTGCAAATACTATAACCAACAATACACGACGAAATGCTTCCCGCCTTATTGAAGTGCTGCCGGATCACCTTCGTTTTCAAACACACGACTGACCTATTTAGGCCTTTTCTCGAGCTATAAATTCGACATGCATGCACTTGGCTCACCCAGTCATCTGAGCTTCAGAAGTTGAGGTTATCTTTTTTTCCATTCATACATTTAAATTAGCATCCTTTTCAGTCTACTGTGAGTAGAAGAGAAGTACCATGAGCAACTCACGTAGCATACCTCTCTACGCTCATCACTGGAAGGTCATTGATTTTTTAAACGAGGCGGTCATACCTATCTGACGCTCGTAGACGCCTTCTAAGTGTGTCTTTTGGCCCTGAATCCATTTGGATTCGTCTTACCGACGTACAAAAAAATCTATATCTGCCTCTAGAAAAAATGGCTACCACAAATCTCATTTATTTCATTAACATCATTTCATTTACACACTCCTTTTTATTTCTAACATTAATAAATTCTTATAATTATATTTTTGCCATCGTCGCTAAATTTTTATGACTTTTATTCAGAAAACATTAAGTTAAGGAATTTGTTGCGAACAAGTTCACCGCGTTATTTCCAGGAAACGTTTTACTCGCTTTGGATACTTAATGGGAACATTTGATTAATATGATCGATGTTCGAGACATCAGTGCGTTCTATGAATCCTAATGCTTCACGATATACCGCTATGAAAATTTAAATTCTAACTTTGCTTCGGGCTGTCAGTGAAAATGTTGGAGTACTCGCCGTCGGTCCACCAATTAGATTTAGCTTCAAAATGAGTGTTTCAACTCGTTTAAAGTTTCACAAAATTTCGTTCAATCCTTGGAAAGTTTATTTTACCCCTTTTGTGACTTTAATGTTTGTGATTGAAGAAAGCGGCTGGAATGATTTGGTTGTTATTTCTTATTTGCACAGGTTTGTAAGTTATTGTATTATTACTAACAATTAATTTAACGATAAAAATAATGTTATATTTTATTTATTATTAGCATTGCCCGCGGCTCGGCCCGCTTCAGATGACCAAAAACCAAATTCTTAGGTTTTACATATTAGTATACTCTTACATTGCAGTTTTTGTATTTTTTCTGAGAAATGAGACATTTTCCCGCGGTAAAAAGTATCCTATATGTTGACCCGGATAACCAGCTATCACCATACCAAATTTCATCAAAATCCCTCCAGTGGGTTTTCTGTGATGCGGTAACAGACAGACAAACAAATATTCTAAAAACTGTAGATTCGGCCTCTGTATCGATCATAATGTTTATTTCAATAAGATTTTCCAAAAAATATTTAATGTACAGATTCGGCTTAGTTACAATTTTATTATTTGTATAGATTAGTAAGTTTTTTCATTAATAATCTGTAGCATGTTTCATGAATTAGAAATAAAAAAAGAACTTTATTTATTGTTTTATTTAATGAGCTGAGTTATCACAGGCTAGAAATAAATAAGGCGACAATAAAAAACCTCCGTAAACACGGTAAATTTTAGGTATTTACTTTTTGTGTTCACATGAAGATTTACCCATTTTGCCGCAGATAATAATAACAGTTATAAATAAATATATCTATTTATATAAAGCATACGTAGTAGGTATCAAACCAAAGTAGGCATATACATATTACATGTACATTGTACATATAAGGCAGGTCCCGAAATTGGTCCCATTTCAACTGGAAGGAAAAGTTCATTCCGTAGGGACTGTTATCATCTAGTTTTTAAAACATTACAAGAATTTTTGAAGATACTGTAAGATGAAGAATATTGATACGTAGATTTTAGCCAAAAAATATAAATTTAAAAAAAAAATTCAACCAACTTAAAAGGAAGTTAAAAGAAAAAAACCTATGGTACCTCAATAAGGTCCTAATCCTAAACGAGTGAAACTAACATTTTGTTAAGCGCGTTACAATTTCTTTTCATTGCTTAATTTTTTATAATTTTTTAGTTTTTTTTAATAAAAAAATAAAAAATTGTCGTGTATTAAGTACCTAGCTATATATTTGTTAAACAAAGTTAATTAATATTTTTATCAATAAATGAAAAATGCACTTTTTATAAAACTAACTTTCGCAAAGGCACTTTTAAAAAAGTGAAATGTGTTATTTTATGGACATGTGTACACTATCTTTGAATGTTAATTTTCAGATACAAATCTCTGGATACCATTTTTGATAGTCGTGCTCGCTTCTATAATTAATATGCTGGCAATATATGAATAAAAACCTGGTCGGATTGCTAATTAATATTATAATTTGAAGAAAGGCCTAGGCAGAATATAATGTTGGCAGAAAATAAACTAAGAATAATTTTAAACTGAGTTGCAATGCAGATTTAGATATTCAAAGACCAATACCAGACCATATTAAAAAACCAAGCTCTCTAAGACATTTTCTTCTTCACGTTCAGTTAATGGTCTATACAGGCTTATTAAAGTCAATTGTCAGAGAAAGCGCATAGTATGATTATACTACCGGATCTACTGTTAGGTTACCCAGAACTAGACATGCTAAGTAAGCAAGCAGCATTACACTCAGCTAGAAAGCTTGAAATTATTTTATAATTGCACTCTACCTGTAACTACGCGTAATAGGTATACGATTTTACTTAAATATTTTCTTTGTATACCTAGAATAAATAAAAATACAGGTCTTTCGGTGTCTAATATTTTTTTGCAATATACACATCCATTACTCTATTTAACTTTAAACTAAGTTATAAAATATGGGCACATATATCGTTCTTTTACACATTTTCACGCCCTTTCGTTGTACGGTATAGTATTAATTTCCCGATATTCAAAGAACTTGCTTAATATTGTACCTACTTTATTCTATCTGACACGAAACATTTTGTATGATGAAAGTAGAAATATTTGCTTTATTTGTTTTAAACCATAAAGGAGTCGATCTTGGGATCTTTTATGTACAAGTAATTGGTATTGTAGGTCGAATCGCGGACGTACGTTGTCCATATTAATATTCAGTACTTCGCTCGGCAATTTTTAGGATAGGATATAAAAATTCCCTTTTTTCAGAAATACACCTATTTAGATAAACTTAAAAAGCAAAACTTATTATCTAATAATCTAAATACAAAATTTGATCCAAGTCGTTAGAGCCGTTTTGAAGATAACCGAAATAAATTTATATAAATACAAGAATTGCTCATTTAATATTATACGATAATTTTTACTTCTAGTAAGCGCAGTGAGATGGCAGTCTCCGCCATCTTACGATCCAGTATGGTTGGCCAGCGTACAAACTCATGCACCAGTGCCGCCAGTCAATGAAACTCGACTATGGGGCTGGGTTGCGATGCAGGATGTAGAGTTTAGATTATTTACAAGGTATTTATTTGTTTATTGAATAACAAGTAATTTCTATACATACATAATACCTGCCCCTCGGTTTTCATGTGTTGGCGATTTTTTATCCATCTTGAAAAATTAGTGACCTTTAAATTATCTATTATGTCTGACCTCTTTCTTGCATCTAGATTTCTTAGCATAACTTACAATGGCTTAGAAATTTATATTTCGGTACCTGTCTATTCTTTTTTTTATATGACATCTGAAAAATATTATTTTCCATAAAAACTTTGTCTCTTTCCTGTTTGTCTCTTAACAATATTCTTTCTAAGTAGTTACATTCCAATACACGTATGTTATTAGAGAGAATACCTACAGTATGAGGAATACCTACAATTTTTTGTTTATTCATCTATGTGTTCATAAATGTGCCTAACTGGCACTTTTAGAAGCCACTAAAAAAAAATATGAATTGAATTGTACATTTAATATTTATTATTAATATTTATAATATAAATACAAAGCTAAATCAGTAATTCTAAGAAAAATGTGTTCTATTATAGTAGTACTATCATTGCCCGCGGCTCCGCCCGCGTTCAGATGACCTAAACAAAATTCTTAGGTTTTACATATTATTATACTCTTACATTGCAGTTTTTGTATTATTTCTCAGAAATGAGATATTTTCACGCGGTAAAAAGTATCCTATATGTTGACCTGGATAACCAGCTATCACCATACCAAATTTCATCAAAATCCCTCCAGTGGTTTTTCTGTGATGCGGTAACAGATAGACAGACAGACAGACAAACAGACAAAACTTCTAAAAACTATATATTCGGCCTCTGTATCGATAATAATGTTTATTTCAATAAGATTTTCCAAAAAATATTTAATGTACAGATTCGGCTTAGTTACAATTTTATTATATATATGGATAAATATTATGTTAATCCCGGAAAAGGCTAAAGTTACACCATTGCACCATTTTTATCTAGGATTTGAACTTTTATCGTTTCTAATAAATGTTAACGGTACCCATTCCAGACGAAACCCCTACGAATACCAAGTTCTCAAAACTAACGATTCGTCCAATCTGCGAGATTCAAACTTTAACTTCAATAACAAGGTGAAAGTTCTAGCACACGGGTGGCTCAACCATGGCAACGGACCTATGCCGGAATCCATTAAGGAAGGTAAAAATCTAAAAGAAAATTTTAGTTCATATTTTTCATTTTAGATCAGTTTTGTGAATTTATATTTTAATGAACGAAAAATACTTTATTATTTTATCAATCAATGAAGGTTTGGTTTATACATTATTTTTTGGTAGATCTGTAAGAAAGTCTTAGTTAGTATTTATACTTAATACTCGATGTCATAAGAAAATAGTGGAAGAATGATATTGATATATATATATATATATATATATATATATATATATATATATATATATATATGTATATATATATATAGTACATTTTTATGTTGGGCGGAAACTACAGTACCTGAGTACTTTTAGTGTTTAAATTCTTTTATTATAATATATGGATATCACTGCATGAATTTCAAATTGCGATTTATTGAATACTTAACATGACTTCTCTTCTTTAAGCTACACGAGCTAAATTGTAAACTTTCATAAGTTTACAATTTAGCTATATATATAAATATGTGATAAATGTGTAAGCACTAAGCACTCATTAAGTACCTACAAGATTTTTAACATCTCCAGGTAAATTTCTAAGAAATTAATTAAATTTCTAAGAAATCTATTGTTAACTGTAACGTCGTAACGTGTAAACGGTCGTTGAGGCATTAAACAACAGATTCACAACTTAAGTCGTTAGTTGGTTCATTATTTTCTGAAAATAGTATATTATACTTTAAAAAATTGCCGCATACTTGAAAATGAATGACATAACGATTGTAACTATTTCTTGCGTAAAAAATGCGTTTTAGTATATATAGTGTAAGCCATTCTAGTATTTTGTTTTGGACCTCACACTGAAACTCCTTCATGAAACTGTTCACAGGAGTGATCTACGGAATGACAATAAATGACCAGTACACTAACCACGTGATTGCAACATTCAAAGGCTATAATTTGCTTATTAGTGGTTTTGAACGAAGACCACTAAATAATCTGCCATTAAAACATTTCATTACAGAAAAATATTCCAATGCTAATGTAATTTGTTATTATTCGAGTAGTATTTATTGTTATATGATTTATATAAGTAAGAATTATTACCTAACAAAATAATCGAGAGCAAAAAATTAAATCAGAAAAATAAGCACTTTACAGTAGATAAAACAGAAGAGTGCGCTGTTGACATCATTTCTAAAATAACAAAACACATAAAGAAATAAAAGTGATTAATAATTATTCTGTACAATAATGTTATAATAATAAAAAACTTTTACACAAAAAAATGAAGAATATGAAAACGTCAATACTTGTTTAAAACTTCATGAAATTATTTGGAATTTTATTCTAATTCATGTACATAATCATATACTGAATAATATGATTGATATACTCGTAGCTACGTCATTACGTAGTTTGACTTGTTATGTTTAATTTTTACGATGGTAACTATCAAACTTAACAGTAGAGTTCGTTGCCATTTTTCACCCAAAAAACGGCATTATTTTTTATTATTTTTATTTTTTTTAAATATGTTGGGACATTAACACACAGCGCCATCTAGTTCCATGATAAGCTGCGAAGCTTGTGTTATGGATACCAGATAGTTGATACACTACACATATATAACTTTAAATACATACTTATTATAAATATAAACACCCATGACTGGAGTATACACATTCGTCATTACACAAATGAATGCCCCCAGCGGGACTCGAACCCGCGACCGCTGGCACAGCAAGTAGGGTCACTATAAACTGAGCCAACGTGTCGTCAATTTTGCTATTCAACGGGGGAATGCGGCTAGCATTCTTGCCACTATTCCACGTCGACATGACTTGTACAGTAATAACTAAGTGTACATTTTTTTTGTATATATAATTAACTATAATTGTAATTTTCTATATAGGAGTTTATAAAAAAAGTTGAAGCACATTATTAAGCTTATAAAACTGTAACTTATATATAAAGCATCTAGGAGATTGCTCAATACGAACTCGATACACACTCTGCTCTGAAACCGGAGCTGTTTCAGGAAACTGAGCTAAGCGACGGAAGGTCGCAAAGTGCAGCACCGTCGGCCGGCTTTTATATCTTTAATGTAAATTGCTTCTCGTCATTACGATCTTTTAAGCGGTATAATTTGTAGATAAAATGAAATTTCACAGCAATTTTTATTGAATAGTCCTGGTATTTAAAAAAAAGACTCATGTAATTCTTTATTTTTTCAATTTTGAGTTATAATAAAGAATTTAGAACAGTAAAACTACCTACATATAAGTATATCATACCTATGTGAATTATTGTTTTTTTTTTATAAAATAAGGTGAAAGTATACAAAAGTAACATTGTAAACATCCTGTCATTTTTAGTTTTTTTCAAAACTTGTTACGCGCACTATATATTATGTTATTTGTTCTGATATAAATGGATGGAATACACTTAAAATATGTATATATATATATACATATATATATATATAAATGTCAGTAAATTGGTACCCTAAAGTGTCATTCCGTAATGTTTGATGATAAAGATCGCCATAACGCCAAAACGACGGCAACCATTAAAAATCAGTTAGTATTTAGTATTCCATATAGTTTTCATAGTTTTCATATGGGTATAAAATATCTTTCTTGTTCGTAAATATTAGTAGGTACTAAGTTAGCATTTTTTAAGTATAATTAATTTTTTTTTATTATTGCAGCGTACCTCAATGTAAGCGATATAAATATAATTGTAGTGGATTGGGGGAATGCGGCAAATGTGAACTACATATTGGCTAGTTATAATGTAGCAATGGTTGGAAGAGTTTTAACAGAATTCCTTAATTTTTTGATAAATGAGGGAGTGTCAATGGATAACGTTCATCTAATAGGACACAGTTTGGGCGCCCACGTTGTCGGTATAGCAGGAGCTTACGTGAAGCAAGGACCTATCGACACGATAACAGGTCTGTATTTCATATATTTTATTTGCAAAGTATTTATAATAATATAAAATATTATAAATTGCATACCAAGTATTTCTGCATAGTTTTTGTATGTACATAGGAATCATATGAGTTCAAAATCGAGGGGTTTTGGTTAGGGGGGGGGGGGGGTTAAGGTATTTTCTAGTAGCCACTCATGAGCTCCACTATCTACCTTCTGGCTCAATCATCAGACTGATTTACCAGGGTTTGATTAAGTTGTTCGTTACACGATAAAAAAAGCGTTAAGCATAATAAAAACCTCAAAAATGACGCGTAATATTTTTTTATCTTAGATTTAGAGAACTTTTTAGTATTTGTCATAACTACATATTCACTTGTTATAAATGTAAAAAACCTACGATCGTTTATAATTAATATACTCGTATTAGAAACAGTGTTAACAATTAAAAGTCTTTAGAATACTAATCCCTTAAGTTAATATGAATTTTGAACAAGTTTGCAAATTATAATGTCAATTAGAAGCAAGAATATTAGAACCGAATGTGACTTCCATATCACAGAACTTGTACAATCTAGTCTAGCTGAATAACTAATTTTGGGTTCAACTTTAGTTTCTATTAGCTTTATATAAGCAGTATTGCGGAATATGAAAAGATTTTTAACTTCTCTATAATAATGTTAATGCCACACGATAATTTTTAAGATCACGTTAAGCCAAAAATCATATTTTACTTCAAAACGACAAAAATTATAATTTAGGTCTGTCAGATGAAAAATATTATTGTAAGTGGCTACTTAGAATTGTTATAAATATAACTTTTCTGATTGTTGTTGTAACTTAATAAAAAGAAGTTTAATATATATACTTTTGCTTATTTTTGTTCTGAAAAAACTTTTACTAATTTGCTACTCCACAAAGTTTACTTTTATACGCCATCGTCTCGTCGTATCTTTTCCGAATTTTTGGTTATAATTATAAAGCTTTCCGTAAGACTGACATTTTTTTTATTATAACATTGTTTCAAAAACTAGTTAAAATGTCAGGAGAGTTTTTTCATTATGTTCTTTAAATTTGTAGAATGGAACAAATCATCAAGACGTGGAAAAAGTATCTTGAACATTCAAGATATCAAGTTTTACTCAAAAAAATAACATTCTTTTATTTTGAAAAATAAGAATAATCGATAGAGTTTCTGGTAATAATTAAATATCTCGACAAAACGTTGTACCTTACAATTAAAGAAAATCATAAAGTCTTATAATTTGTACACAACCCGTTGTAAAAAGTAGTGTGAAAAAGGGGCAATTACTATTCAAGACTTTGTATCATCTATACATATAATAAAATTATAGCTAAGCCGAATCTGTACATTAAATATTTTTTGGAAAATCTTATTGAAATAAACATTATTATCGGTACAGAGGCTGAATCTACAGTTTTTAGAATAAGTATTTGTTTGTCTGTCTGTTACCGCATCACAGAAAAACCACTGGAGGGATTTTGATGAAATTTGGTATGGTGGTAGCTGGTTATCCGGGTCAACATATAGGATACTTTTTACCGCGGGAAAATGTCTTATTTCTAAGAAAAAATACAAAATTGCAATGTAAGACTAATATGTAAAACCTATGAATTTGGTTTTTGGTCACCTGAACGCGGGCGGAACCGCGGGCAATGCTGGTGATCAATAAATTTCCTGCATGCTAATAGAAAGAGGTAATTTTTAGCCTCCCTAAATTTTCTTATCTAACATTTCCATTTTAAAATAAAGAAAAGTGTATGTGTATGAATAAAAAAAATATTCAAAAGAGTAGCAGAATCGTTATAGAAGAAACACTCGCTACCACAGTCATTACTTAGCGGTTCGTTCGCTTTTGTTCGACTTCGCTGGAGATGAATATTGAAATACATATATGAAGAAGCTTGAAAACTTTGCATAAATGGAATTATATGTATTTTAATCTAGCACACACAAATTTGTAAAATATTATGTGTCGACATTTCTAAATCTGTAGATAGAATAAAATTCTAACAGAGTCGAATCTGTGCATTAAATATTTTTTGGAAAATCTTATTGAAATAGTCCTTATTATCGATACAGAGGCCGAATCTATACTTTCTAGAATTTTTGTGTGTCTGTCTGAGAACGCATCACGAGAAAACTACTGTACAGATTTTAATGAAATTTGGTATGATGATAGCTACAGATTTCGATGGTATGATGATAGCTGGTTATCCGGGTCAACGTTTAGGATAATTTTTACTGTAGAAAAATATATCATTTCTGAGCAATTTATATTAACCGTTAAAACGTCGTTAGTATATGTATACCTAATGCTATCTGCTTGTGCCTTGATACGGTCGAGTAGTACTATTTATTATTTATTTAGGTAGTTAGAAGTACCGAATACTCAAAAATTTTCAAACTTCAAACAGTATCAAGACTCCAAGATTAGATCAAAACCTTTATTATATACGTTTTATTAAACTGAATGTGTTTTCCCCTTCTTTATATATTTTTTTAATAAAAATATTAAAAAACATACAAAGCTAAACATGTTAAATTGCTAAAATCTAATATTATTAATATTGAAATTAGAAAATAACTTTTTTATTAGTCTGAGCAAACAATTATATCTACTTAAAGATGATATAATAAAAAATCAAGTCATTTGTTCTGTTCTGCCATAACGCCTCATTTGATAGAGAACGGTTTTGTTTTCATACAAGTTATCCGAATAATAAACAACAACACGCATTAATATTGTTTTTTGTGGTTTTTATAGGAACTATATGGGTTAACCTTGCTCAAGCCTTCACATTTGAGTAATGATGATAACCTCTTTTTTTATTTGCCTAAAAGAAGTGAGTCGTAGACACGTCCTTTGGAATTTTCAGCGTCTCTTGATGAGAACGTCTTATTGTACTGCAATAAAGTCAATAAGGCTTAGTTATTTTGCAGCAATTACCATGAAAACTGCGTTAGTCTAGTGGCATGTACGACTGTGAGAGATCCTAAGTTCGAGTCCCGGGTCGAGTTGAGTTTAATTATTTGGGTTTTCTCTCAAGAAATTCTTAGTAATAGCCTGAAGTTAGGAAGTTGGCATTGGTACATCCCCGTGCCTAGCAGAGCACGGAAAGCAGGCGGCCCTTCGCCTGATCTGTCATTCTGATCCCACCGGCGTTTGAGAGTGAAAGGAATAGAGAGTGCATTTGTGTTTACTCGTATACTCGTGCAGTATAAATATTAATGTCTCCTTCGTACATGGACAGTCTCAGAGAGATTGCTCACCGTGGCCGAAATCGATTAGGAGGATGTTAGAGTAATTAAAATACATTAGTTTGTTGTGGTCTTGATGCTAAAATCTACATATTTTCGGATTTATAGCAGATATTAAGGTAAAGATAATATTGACATATTCAGATCACTGAATTGTTTTCATCCAACTAGCTTACACTCTGAGAACGATCCCATTGAACAGAGGATAGAAATATATATTTATAAAAATAAGCTATCGAGGGTGAGTCGATTAGTATTACCTACCTAATATGTAGAGACGGAGATACTATATGGGTTGTTACATTAAACATGATATGGTGTGTCATGTTTAAAGTAGTTTTCCTAACCATTCCCGTTAATAACTTATTAGCCGATTTTTAGAACTATTACACTTAATGCAAACAAGTGTTTGAACAGAATGGATTTACCTATTAATTTACACTTTATGCCCATGGTGCAATTGAACGGCAAGCCGACGTAATCGGAGAGAGATCAGGCGCAGGATCAAAGGCTTTATGTGCTCTTTTAAGCAGGTGTACATTCTACTGGCAACTTAGGGATTCTATTGCAAATTTCCAGAGAGTAAAAACAATAAATATCATTGTTCGACTGGGATTTGAACGTAGGACCCTTAATTCTGCTTCTGTCTAACTTAATTACTAAACCATAAAGTATTAAACGAGCTAAGCCGCATGCAAAGGTAGGTCAATAAATTTATCTTTCTGCAGTACTTTTATTTGCATATAAAGTTTTAGTATGCAGAAGCGTTTTCTCCGTACAACGTAATATGCTTGAAAAGGCTACAAAGTTTTCTCTTTACCTATTAATATATGAATATCATTAGCAACATATTTATAGAAATATATTTCTTATTTCTAACTTTTGTAACATGTATAATAAAGTAGGATAAAACCTCTGGTAATTTATGCCATATTTCTACGTACCTAAAAGTTTAATTTGGGAGTTTTAATGAGAACAAGGCATAGACATTAGACATATTAAATCAGGAACAGTACATGTGTATTATATATATTACTAGCATTGCCCGCGGCTCCGCCCGCGTTCTGAAGACCAAAAACCAAATAAAATAGCGCTATTGTTATTTTTTTCAAGATAAGCTATTTTTAATAGTTTTTGCCTTATTTAGTAAGTTACCTTGCTAAAATATATATAGTATCATCGTGGTTTTATTCTAACCAGTTTTTGTATATTTTCTCAGAAATAAGATATTTTCCTGTTGTAAAAAGTATTCTATATGTTGACCTGGATAACCAGCTATGACCATACCAAATTTTATCAAAATCCCTTCAGTCGTTTTCCTGTGATGCGGTAACAGACAGACAGACGGACAGACAGACAGACAAAAATTCTAAAAACTATAGATTCAGCCTCTGTATCGATAATAATGTCTATTTCAATAAGATTTTCAAAAAAATACTTAATATACAGATTCGACTTACAATTTTATTATATGTATAGATAGATGTATTACTTTGAATAAGATAGCACTTTATATTGAGTAGCAGTTCTTTAAAATTTACAGAAGATTTCTATTCAATTTAACTAAGAATTTGCATTCAAAACAAATATACGTACTAATTATGCTAATACGACAAGGAACATATACATTGTCACAACTTAGGATTAAGTTGACGTGCCCTCGGATCAACGTAATGGCTTTAACAATGGACCAATAGCGATTGTGTCAACATTCCTTGAATTGTTTATTAATTTGTTCATTATTATCTACTAGCATTGCCCGCGGCTCCGCCCGCGTTCAGATGACCAAAAACTAAATTCTTAGGTGTTACATATTAGTATACTCTTACATTGCAGTTTTTGTATTTTTCCTCAGAAATAAGATATTTTCCCGCGGTAAAAAGTATCCTAGGATCGCGCGCTACATCGCCCGGTTTATATAGCTTGAGCAGGCGGTCGAGCGATGCGGGGCAGAGGGGATGGACTCGCCGTAGGCATCTCAATGCTCGCCAAGCATTAAAAATGTTTCGCTACTAATTACTTCTAACAACGATATCTCAAAAACTATTCATCTGATTGATTTAGTGTAAAGAGCAATTTTAATCTGCATTAAATGACTAAGCTAACTAAAATATTCATTTGGATAAGGATTAATACCGAACTAAAGAAAATAACTTTGAAAATAACGTAATGTTTTTAATTAAAAATGTTAACATAAAAGTGGTTATTGTAAGTCAACCGTAAGAGATAGAGATATGCTATCGCGGACTTTTTTGTAGCATTTTTATAGATTTTGAATTCTCTAGTACATTACTTAACTGTATCTTTGCTAGTTTACGCGGCGTTCGCGTGGAAAGTTCCCATTTGGCGAGATTTTTTGCGACCTCTTCAACATTTGTCGCCGTATTTCAGCTAATTTACATAAAAGCATAATAAATTATATACCTAAACCTTCCTCAAGAATTACTCTTTCTATTGTTGAAAACCGTATAAAAATCCGTTCAGTAGTTTTCGAGTTTATCGCGTACAGACAGACAGGAGGACAGACAGGAGGACAGAAAGACGCGGCCGGGGGACTTATTTTTATAATAAGTATAGATGTGGTAAACCGAATTGCTAAGTGTCCAAAGTTTCATTTTTAGTAAAACGTTGGTAATTCTTAGCATTAACCGTTCATCCATACTAATTTTATAAATGTGAAAGTCTGTTTGCTTGTTTATCCTTCTTTCACGTCGAAACGGAGTGCCTTGGGGTGATTTTTTTGTGTAGGGATAATTGGAGGCATAGGCTACTTTTGGGAAAACACTTTATAATACAATCCAAAAAAATATTTATGATCAGAATTATTTGAAAGTTGGTATTTATTAATGCTCTTCAATAAAATGAAATAAATACGTGTTTTAGCATTTTTTGAAATTCATCATATAAGGGGGTAAAATAGAGGACAAAACTACCTTTTTAGAGATTTTTTTGTAGTTTTAACCCGAGCGAAGCCGCGAGTTCTGCTAGTATACCTATAATTTAACTTCCATTGACATAAATAATAGTCTACATATACATAAGTAGGTCAATAGGAGACTAATTATAGAAAAATAGAACATTTTTCTATAATTCGTAGGTAGCGCTAGTTAGTTCTATTTACGAGCTATGCTACTAGCATGTTCTTAATTATACATATACTCTGCGGGTCTTGCTAGTTGTTTAAGGAGCTTTTTATCTAAGTCAGGACGTCATAAATAGATGTAGCATGTATGGATTAACATTCTACTTCTCGTATTCTTTCTAAGATTTCTAGTTACTTAAACTAGCACTAGTCTAGTCGTAGTCGACGACACAGCTCGAAAAATTGATACAAACATACAATTTATTTATAGAAATATATTTAACGGTCATTGTGTCTTTTTTCTTCCACTTCTTTTGTTTTATCAATAATTTTTAAGATATTTTATCGGCGGAAAGACCAAGGATAGTGTTCATAAAATAGGTATAGTACTTTTTATAACTGTATAATTAAAATGTAGTTTGTTGGTAAGCGCATTTATAATAGATTTTTTTTTTATATTTATAATAGTGCAAATAAGATTTTAAGGAGAAAAAATGAAAAAGTTGCGAGGAAAGTTGGCAAATTTGGGAGTGCTTTTTTCTGTGCAACTTTTGTTTGACTAAAACCACCACGACTACGTCTGGCGCGCCAGTTGGTATAAAATATTTATACATATATGTATGTAGAGTATATTTTATAGTTAAAGTTGAAAACGCCGAAAATATAGATTTTTAGTGAAAAATATCATAAATTATAGGTTTAGATCCAGCTCTGCCGTTATTTACGCTGGGTAATAAAGATGCGCGTCTGGACAAACACGACGCGCGGCACGTCGAAGTCATTCACACGTGTGGGGGATATCTTGGGTTCGCGGCGCCACTCGGTCACATCGACTTCTACCCGAACGGCGGGACCCGACAGCCCGGATGCGGAATCGATTACAGAGGTAATACATATCAGTGTGCAGAACTTCCTCTGATTTAATTAAAAGTTTAAAGTGTTTAACTTATTTATAGAATCTTATGATTAGTTTTGAGTTTTCGAAAAAACAAGTACCTAATGTTCCAAAAAATATTTTTGGAATGTTTATTTTATTTTTGTTTAATGAAAGTCAATAAAAACTTTACCTATCTTAAATATTATATACCTTACCTTATATATGTTATATGTATGTACCTACATAAGGTAAAGTGCAAATTAACTAGTAGTTAATCTCTAATTATGAGATTGATTCTATTAAAATGTGATAAATATTTTGGTTCTTATATTAGTTTGTTAATTTGTAAACTTTCTCAGTAAACAACAGATTATACATATATTACTAACAGTTGTAAGTGGCAAAACACACTAAAGGTGCCTATTAAATTATTACATAAGGATATATTATGTACATAATAGGTATGTAGGTACATTTTATTTATTTACTGGTTAGTCAGCGGAATAGAAAAGACGAGTTCATTTGTAAATAACTTCGATCAACAGTATTGTTGATCGAAGGTAAATAAATAATACCAATTCGTAACAGAATATTTAAAAAAAAACAATTAGGAGTTTACAAATATTTAGGCAAATCATAGTATTAACTAATGGTACTATGATTTTAGTTTAGTTTCATAAAAAGGGTGCCTTTAATTTATATGAAATTATAAAGTATAATATTTTTCAGGTCTCTGCGCCCATAATAGAGCTCACATGTTTTTCGCTGAATCTATCATATCTCCGGTACCTTTTACGGCCGTTCGTTGTAAAGATTACGACGAATTATACTACCAACGATCTTGCAAAGGCACTGGCGAGAAGTTGATAATGGGCGGATTTGACATACATTATGGGTAAGTTATGTCAATATAGGGTATCTTGATGTATAGAAATAAGAAAATTGTAATGCGGTTAGAATTGCCTCTATAAAAAAAATATTTGTGTTTTATAGAAGACTTAATAAAATAATCTATACATATAATAAAATTGTAACTAAGCCGAATCTGTACATTAAATATTTTCAACCGACTTCAAAAAGGAGGAGGTTCTCAATTCGACTGTATGTTTTTTTTTTTTTTTTTTTTTTTTTTTTATGTTTGTTACCTCAGAACTCCGTCATTTATTAACCGATTTGGACAATTTTTGTTTTGTTTGAAAGGGTATACTTCCAGATTGGTCCCATTTAAATTTCAAAAAAAAATACCACCCCTAAGGGTGGAAAAACAACTAATGATGAATTTAACCTACTTCTAATTGTCATATTGACTTGAAACTTTGCAAGTATTTCTATTTCCGTTGATAGTACAGTGGTTCGGTGTTGTTGACCTGATCTGATGGCAAGGCCAGAAGGTGGATAGGTGGAACTCTTCAACGGCTAATAGTAGATACTTTGAGTTTGGGCTTATTTTGTTTGATTTGACAAGCCTAACACGTTAGAATCCTTACTATGCTACTACTGTCTACACTAAAAAGGGAAAAATAAAAACTTTTTAACAAAAAAATAAAAACCGACTTCAAAAAAAAGCACTAAAAAGTAAAAAATAACTGATTGGTAGTTTTCATTTAATATACATACCTAATCAAATATTTTCGAAGTCGGTGTGCTTTGCTTTGTATGGGCTGGCACTGATTTCGAAAATATTTGATTAGGTATGTATTTAATAGGTAGGCTTTAATTACTTAGCCAAAGCACACCGACTTCGAAAATATTTGATTAGGTATGTATATTAAATGAAAACTACCAATCAGTTATTTTTTACTTTTTAGTGCTTTTTTTTGAAGTCGGTTTTTATTTTTTTGTTAAAAAGTTTTTTTTGGAAAATCTTATTAAAATATACATTATTATCGATACAGAGACCGAATTTATAGTTTTTAGAATTTTTGTCTGTCTGTCTGTTACCGCATCACGGAAAAACCAGTGGAGAGATTTTGATGAATTTTGGTATGACGATAGCTGGTTATCCGGGTCAACATATAGGGTACTTTTTATTGCGGGAAAATATGTCATCTCTGAGAAATCTATACTAAACGTTAAATAGTAAGTAGGGACGAACCCGAGCGGAGCGAGGGTGAGTCGCTAGTGTCTTATATATTATGAGAATGACATACGAGAATGACACAACGCAGATGTCATTTTTGTATATCAAGTTTTATACATTGTACGTGACATTGGCGAAGTAATCTATACTAAATTGGCACGTTTTGAAACCATTAAAAAGAAATTTAAATTGTTATCTATTGGCGATTGCGATTGTAGAATATCATCTTGTCTATGTTGGTACATTTTTTTTAATAAATTACGATGTTTACGATGTGACTTTAAATTCATTCACGCTGCCACTATTTTTTCTTATTTCTATGCATATTTCATCATCATATAGGTAAAAATCGGATTTGAAAACAAAAATAGGGCTTATTTAATCTGTCAAGTAGATTCAAATGCAAAGGATGACTCTACATTCTGCATTTTCAGCATTAATTGTGTTAGCGATGTCATAATTAGTGGCTGCAGAATAAATTAAATACACATATTAGGGGCACAGCCGCGTGCCCTTGCCAGTTTGTTATAAATACAATTAAAAATTACTAATTGCTTCTTTCTTCTGTGCTTAAATAAAGAATAATTTTAATAAGTTAGCCAATTTCCAATGAAACAACCTTTATTTTAAATATCCGGCAAGACGGATTTATCGTTTAACAAAGAAGTCCAATGGAGCAGAACAATTGTGGCTGAATCGTTTGAGATCAAAGTATTGTTTCGTTACAGGAAGGATGGGATTTACTACCTCAAGACCAACGCAGATAAACCTTACGCTTTAGGGGACGTCCATCCATGATTTCCACATCAATAATTTTTTTTTATATAGATACAAATGTTTAGGTTTGAATTTATTTATTTAGATTATGTATTTATGCATCACGTTAAGTTTTTGTATATAAATAAAGAAATAGAAAAAAATATATGCATGTGTTTTAACATTTATTTGCGCAAAATAATTACATTTAATCATATTATAGTATTGCCAAGAAAAGCGACCTCAATTTCCTTTTTTAAGTTTATTTATAATAATAAGGCAGCTTTTAGAAAGTGGTTGGTCAGAGGCAGCATTATGGTCCTGAGATTTCTAGAGAGAAACTACTCTTCTTACAAAAAAATCTATTACAATAATTGAATACGTTTAGTACCTACTAGCAACTTACCTCGCTTCGCTCGGGTGCGTTCCTAGGTGAGTACATATAGCGTTGCTACAATTTAATAGATCTTTTTAAGAGAAATAACTTCGTAATAGATTGTTTTCATCTAACTTTATTGGTTTATGCGGTGCACGACGGTAGAGCTCCCAATCAGCTAGATTTTTTCCAACATTTTCAACAATCATCTTCATATTCATATCATTTAGCCAATTTACAAACAGACAGACGCTGCGTAAGGACTTTGTTTTATAATGTGAATACCTAAATAATATTGTTAAATATTGTCGGCTCTGTACAATTATTTCAGCCATGTAAATTTGGCGGTTTTGTTTAATTACATGTAAAACTCTAAAATAATTTAACGGTTACAAAAACAATGAATTAACCATAATATCATTTTTTATCCTGTTTATATGTACTCTAATTATTTATATATAGTTCAATTTAATAGTTTATATTATAAAGATCATGATCGCAAAAGATCACTTTATTCTACTATATGTTATTCTATTATACATTTTTGAAATATAATATCATTGCATTATATTTATTATATAAACGCTTGGAAAGTTTTTTAAAGGAGCAAACGTAAAACGACACTTTTTCTTAATTTCTTCAATGGCCTTTACTATATTCGTATATCAGACGCTATTCGTAGTAACAAATACCCTAGATCTATTTTCGAATCGTGACAAAATCTTTTGCACCTGATTTCATGGAACCTACAACATCATACATCGAACATCCAAATATAAGCGCTATGCCAGACAGGCATTTATTAATGATCAATACTTAAATACTAAGTAAATTATGAAATAGATCATTTTTTAACAATTACCCACTTATTCAGTGCATTACATCTGCAGTGATAAGCGATCATTTTCAAGCATAATAGAGTAGATAACGTAAGTGTATAATGATATAATCGGATGTAAACTGTAGTTGCGTGTACTTGTCCGTACAATCGAATTCATTATGATGAATTGGTTTGCAGAGAACTGTAAATATTGAATAAACTGCCTTATCCTGACTCAATTGACATGTTACAACTATGACTATGTTCTTATTGGTTTATATGTATAACTAGAAAAACAAACACAAATCTATCCCTCTGGTACCGTATATTTTTCCGGGATAAAAATATACGCCTATGTGTTATTCCAGACTATAATCTATCTCTGTGCCAAATTTCATCCAGATCCGTTCAGCCGTTCTAGCGTGTAAGAGTAACAAACATATATCCATACATACATTCTTATAAACTTTCGCGTTAATAATATTAGTAGGATATAATATAATATAGGTAGCATTAAATAAGTATTACAAATGATAACAGGATACACGTTGCTGATGCTTTTTTAATAATGAAAATTAGGGCGTGTAATAACTTTGAGGCCTATGAGTCTTAGTTTTTCTATAGAGACGTAGTTTAAAAACGGAAAGGCCGATTTCTAATAGCTAGTTTAATAATACTTTCTTAGATTTACGCGAATGTTATCATTTTGTTAATTGTGGGTAGGCTGTCTGTAACAACTATACCTTCAAGGCATGTAACACCTCAGTCTCTCCCGTGACCATGGATGCTGTAAAGCATTCGCAACGTCGGGAACCAAAAATCAAAATAAATCCGCGAAATAATCCGAAAAGAGTAATTAGTTTTATTTAAAAAATAGTTTAATTATGATTTTTGTTTTCCAATTTGCTGTACCATCTAGATAAGTTTATCTATATAGCGCCACATTCCATCAACTATTACACCGTCCAAAGGATCTCTATGAAGTTTTCAATCATGTGTATTTAAGGAGAGAGAACATTTTTGCGTTATTTATTTACGCGTCGGGCTGTTTATAAATAAAGGAACAACAAATTAAGAAACAATATGTCAGAAATTACAAGTTCTAATATTATATTATAGTAAAAAATATGTTCTTAAATTTTTTTCCATAATATGTAAAGGGGAAGTACCTACTATCTACGGTTTATTATTATTATATATTAGTCATAAAAATATCAGTCGTAAGTGATCGGGGCTTAATTATCAGGGCTTTAGCGTAGAATGAAATCAAACATTATCATAAGATACAATAATATTTGCTTATTATAGACTTATCATTACTCATTTATACGTCCGTTTTATAAATTATGTGGGTATTAGATGTTATCTAAGAGTATATCTATACATATAATAAAATTCTGACTCGAATCTGTAAATTAAATATTTTTTGGAAAATCTTTTTGAGATAGTCATTATTATCAATACAGAGGTCGAATTTATCGTTTTTAGAATTTTTGTTTGTCTGTCTGTGACCGCATCACGAGAAAACCCTGGACAGATTTTGATGAAATTTACTATGATGATAGTTGGTTATCCGGGTCAACATATAGGAACTTTTTACTGCGGGAAAATACTTCATTTAGGGATGAACCCGAGCGAAGCGAGGGTGAGTCGCTAGTGTATTTATAGGTCTCTTTTAATTTTTTTTCCTAATTGTTATTATTGTAGACACTATCATTTATTATTAACATTATTGTTATTTATTTTTTATTTACAAATAAAATATACTAGTAAGCTGAATGTACTGTCGTCAATGTTACTCTTTAAATTCTATCGCCAACTTCGCCTATAAATTAATATTTCAGTAACATTATGAGGGGTAAAAAAGTTCGTGAGGGGTGGTAAGTGGACCAGTCACGAGTCACGACTTAATTATTTATGCGACCCGCTTCATTTTGTTTATGACATTCATTAAATAATAACATGAGATTTATGTAAGCATTGCCTTTTACATATTTTATATTCTTTTTTTATATTATTTTACACACAGAATAACAAATAATAATTATTTTATTAACTAACAACATTTTTATTCATATATTAATAATTTGCTTCGGTCTTTAGTAATCTATACATGTAATAAAATTCTAACAGAGGACGAATCTATAGTTTTTTTAAGAATTTTCGTCTATTTGTGTGTCTGTGAATGCATCACGAGAAAACCCCTGGACAGCTGACGTTGAAGAAATTTGGTATGATGATAGCTGGTTATCCGGGTCAACATTTAGAATACTTTTTATTGCGAGAAAATATCTCATCTATACTAACCGTTAAGAGGTACGTGTCATTAAAATTTATATTACATATAAGCATGATATATTTGCGTATATCATGCTTATCTATACATATAATAAAATTCTAACTAAGCCGAATTGTACATTAAATATATTTTGGAAAATCTTATTAAAATAGACATTATTATCGATACAGAGGCCGAATTTATAGTTTTTAGAATTTTTGTCTGTCTGTCTGTCTGTTACCGCATCACGGAAAAACCACTGAAGGGATTTTGGTATGGTGATAGCTGGTTATTTTTTTTTTTATATAGTTGGGAAATCCTATTACGGATACCACCCGACTTCCCCCGGGGTGGTTATGTGGAGACTCTCCGGCTAATGAGACCGGCATACCCACTAAAACCCAACTTTCCCCCTCTGCCGCCATGTGGGACGCCACGGGATCGCTCTCGCATACAACCGCGACGCCCCGACGGTTGGCCGAAGCCACCAACCATGAGGCCGCCCCAAGCGGGACAACCCCACTATGGGAAGACTTGCAACCCAAGAAGTGAGGCCGCTCCTAAGTCCACTCTGCTGATCAGAGAAGTACCCGGAGCAGCCCCACACCACAAAAACACCGCCCACCGAAGTGGGCAACCTGCTAAAATAATTCCCCACCCAAATTGGGCAAAACCCCCTCCCAAAGACGCCCGAAAACGAGCCCAACCACAAACGGCTGCAGGAGAAGAGGATGCGACAACGCCGACACTCCCCTTCCCCTGCAGCCCCACCGCGTCCACCATCAACGGTGGTGGCCCCGCTAGGCCGCGGGAGATAGGGACGAGCGGCGCATCGCCATACCGACACTCCTCTTCCCCCGCGGCCCCCCTACCGTCGGCCCACCTCCGGACCAAAATGGCTGCCGACATCCCTCGCCAGACGCAGGACCACCGAACTGGCCCCGCTCCAGCCGCCGCAATGACGGGCTAGCCCCGGCAGTGTGGCCCGCGCAGCGCCTCCTACCGCGAAACGGCCGGAGACACCGCGCTACCTCCAAGAAGGAGACGGCGCCCTCCTAACGCCGCTCCCTCAACCCTCCCTCCTGGCTGTTGGTCCGCGCCGGATTGCTCCGGTACCACAAGCTCCTGTCGGGTCCAAACAGGTGCGAGTGGTGTTCCCCTATCCGCCACCCGGGGACGCGTCCGGTAGCAGTCAGCCTCTGCCCCGGAATAGCTGGTTATCCGGGTCAACATATAGGATACTTTTTACCGCGGGAAAATATATCATTTCTGAGAAAATAATACAAAAACTGCAATGTAAGAGCATGCTAAAATGTTAAACCTAAGAATTTGGGTTTTACTCATCTGAACAAACGTAAATATGTAATATAAATATATAATATAGTTAGGTATTTACTAATGAAGTAGAATATATTTGAACAATGGTTTGAACTTCTAGTGGTCACAGTTAGTTTGACGGAAATATTATTTATATACAAACTAGCGACTTACCCTTGCTTCGCTCAATTGCGTCCTTAGATACGTTTTAATTTTTTTGAGCGAAACTAATTATTTTACGAAATAAA